AAAGCAGATGTAACTCTATGGGGGATATACATTATATCCCCGCATTTGCAGAAATAATATAAATTAACACATTTCTAGAAATCTAAATTTGGGAAAGGATTATTTACTTTTCTACAGCCAATCTTTAGTGTAACTATTGCGTTTATTCTATGGAAAATCAAATCTAAACATGATAATTGCAATCTTTTACACTTATTTTTAAATAATCCTGCAATGAAAGTAAATTTACATATGCAATGAATGTTTACATTTACAACTCTTTTCAATTTCATTACAGAAATATATTGATAAAAATAGTTTTCCTTTTTTAAACATAGCTAGAGGGATAGAAATAAGCGACTTGAGGAGGAGTGTGGCAAGCCAAATTTCACCGACTGTATGTTTTAAATGTTGTGCATTGTAGAGCAGAGAAATTATATTGTTTTACATTGTGAGCAAGTTGATAAGGTGACTATCTTATCAACTTTTTAGCTTTCAGAATGCTGGATTTGGGGACAGTCAGTAAAGCCAAATATTATAATGTAAGATTCGGGATCAGAAAATGAAAGTATATTTTTATATGGTATATATTGTGCAATGTAACTTACTACCACCTAGATTATGGTTACCAGCTTAAGATGGCTATAAAGGGAATTCATGGGAGCATACATATCATTATCCATGATATGTAGTTAGTTATACAGTAGTCCTCAACTTACAACCATTCATTTAAGCGCCCTGTCAAAGTTACAGCACTGAAAAAAGTTAATTACAACCTTGCACTTACAACTGTTGAAGCATCCCCAGGGTCATGTGATCAGATTTTGGGTGCTTGGCAGCATGAATTTACAACAGCTGCAACATCCTGGGATTATGTGATTGTCATTTACCTAATGATTGCCATCACTCTGCTTAATAACTAATTCCTACAACAGTCAACCTACTTAGTAAAACTGTACGATACCCCTGATCTTTTCTACCTATCATCTTCTTATGACTTTAACTTTGTTGCTTGTATCTTACAATTTATATATTTTTTTAGTATCCGAGTATGATTTATGTTGTTTGCTTAGCTAGTATTCTATGACTATCACTAAGTGTTGCATCTTATGATCTATAATGAAGTGTTGCATCTTATGATCTATGATGAAGTGTTGCATTTTACAATTTATGATGAATGTATTTCATGTTGTTTATCATCATGATTATCACTATTACTTGTATGTACACTGAGAGCTTATGCATTGGAGACAAATTTCTTGTTATGTCCAAACCACACTTGGCCAATAAAGAAGTCTATTTCACTTAATATCTGCAGTGATCTGCTTAAAAACCACAACAAAAAGGTCATAAAATCAGGTACAGCTCATTTAACCACTTTGCTTAGCAACAGAAATTGTGGTCTAAAATTGTACTAAGTTTATGACTACCTGTAATTTTATTGACCAGAAACTGTGGAACATTAGCAGAAGAGGCCTGTTTTGTTCGTGTCTCGCCCAAAACAAGAGAATCTGATCACTCTAATAAATAACATTTAAACTAGATAATCTTTGGTCCAATCCAATTTACATAAATGGAATAATTAATAGATTACATGTAAAAATATCTGAACATGTTAAACAACTATTACATTATAATTAAAATACCTCTCCCCTGGCTCCCAGCTCCAAGATAGGCAAGAATAAATATTCCATGTTTCCTTTTTTGCACTGTACCCTCCATAGTAATGAAGGTAGTAGCTAAACTCTTACAAATCGTCAAAATTTGCTCTAGATATACAAGTTGATGGATGGAAGAACTCTTGTAGGAGTACAATAAATCTGTTCTCTATCCTATTCCCAATTGCACTTTGGAGATGCCTTGAGGTCTCCTCTACTTGAGACTTTCCAAATAGGATTATGTTCAGCACTTAGCACATTGTGTTTGGTTTGTCCCAGACTGCATTGTTTCTCTATTTCCAACGTGCTCCCCTATTCTATACAAGTCATCTTATTTTCTCTATCCACCTTATATGCATAGAACACTGTGCATTATTACTCAGGCCTGTAAACAGCTTTTTTCTCTTATAGCCTATAGCAAGGAAAACTCATTTCTAAGCAAATAAGAAAGCACTTCAGTTTCTAAGAACAGACAATTTGATATTTCTGTTTAATTTCAAGGGTAGTCATGCACCCTAAACCTTTGAATGTATTCGTTACTTGGAACAGCTGTGCTGGAGGGCAGGATTAAACAATCATCACATCAAAAAGTGTATTTGGAAGGCAGCTAAGCCCAATATTGTACAGTATTCCTTAGCATGTTTTATAGCCAGAGAAATCTTTGCCAGAGAAATCTACATTTCTATATTCTTTCACTATTTTATCTCTTCACTTTCCTCGATACTGTTGCCTTCTCTTCTGTATTTCCGCACAAAGCAGCCATTCTAGAGATTTATTTAGAGGACGATTGATACAACTGGTTTGCTAAATTGGTTTGATGATGATACCCATTTAGTCATGTCCGACCCTTAGCAATTCTATGGGCCAGATCTCTCCACTTCTTCCAATCTTCCACTACTTCTTTGAGTTAGAAAGTCATTTCGGGCCCTTTTCTATTTTTTTTTTAAAAAGAGAAACAGAAACAATTACTTTATTCTAAAAGCAAGGCAGAATTTGAAGATCAGATGCTATATTAAAACGCATACAAAAGGCCTCTAGTGGGCGTTCAGAGCTCAATAGCTCCCATCTGCTCTTCAAGTTGAACCGGCTCAAAAGTTTCTCTCCGCAAGGCATTCTTGGGGAGGGGTGGACAGAGAACTCTGCACGCGCCCCGTGACTCATTCTCGCTCTCCTTCTTCGCCTCTTCCTCCCACGGCTCCAACTGAAGGCCGGGCCCACCAAGCTGGACTTCTTCCTGGCAAGAAAAGGGGGGAAAATTGTCTCCTTATTCAGCCGCCAAAACAGCCTCCGGCCAGCAGGGGCAGCCCGGTTCCTCCGGAAGCCCCGCGACCTAGTTGTTGGCTCTCCCGCCGCAGGCGGTGGGTCAAGAACGAACAAACGCCGCTGAAAAAAAAAAGAGAAGCATCTTTCTTCGCCCGTCTTCCCAGCCCTGCCCTTCGATGAAAGGAACCAACGCCGCCAGGTAACCACGCGCCAGAGCCCGCCTTTTTGTGCAGCTGCGAGCGGCCGCTGCCTTCTCTTCCTCCGGAGCGGATCCCCTTCCCGGCTCCCCTCGCCCATTGTTCGCGGTCGCAGGGAGCACTCCGCCCAGGGCTTTCCCCGTCGGAGGCAAAACGTCCCCCCCAGCGCCGTTCAGCACCCACAAGCGCCCCACGCACTTCCCTTGTTAAAATCAAAGGGCTCCGCGTCTCCTCTTCGGGCAGCCCAAACGCAGATTTTCCTTTCCCTGGGAGGCAGAGACCGCGCGCGCAGTGTTGCGCCCAGGCTAACGTCGTGGGTTTCCCTGGGCCTTTTTTTTGAAAAAGCCGCCCTTTTCAAACTCTGGCGAAATAGTCTGCCCTCTCAGGAGGCGTGTTTGCTGTGTCGGGACGTCTGGCGAACTCTTTAACCGCTGCGTGGCGGGCATAAATTGAAGCGATCCCGCTATGCTTAGAGTTCCCCCTGGAGGCGAAATTACCTCCGTCGGATGTTTACGGAAGGCCTCACATCTTGGGGAGATAGATGGTAAATAGTAAAAGGAAGGTAACTATTGGAAGAGTCATTCTGAGCAGTCCATGGGGATTCGGCTAAAAGGAACCAAGAGTAACTGTTGTGTGCTTAGCTCAGGAAGTGCATTGTCAAGGCGGGCACAATTTTTAGAACAACGACTGCCACAAAGGTCAAAGTGAAGACTTTCCCATGTGCTCGTTAGCTTGCTTATATTTCTTTCTTTTTGTAATAGGCAGCAGTCTGATCTTCCAGCCAGCTACTTGCTGGTAAGAGCAGGCAAGGTAATCTCTACAGACTGCAGTTTTGGAGCCAAGGACTATGTATGATCAACAGGTTGCAAGTTGCCCAATCCAGATCTAGGGCAGTGGTGGCGAACCTATGGCACGGGTGCCAGAGGTGGCACTCAGAGCCCTCTCTGTGGGCACGCATGCCGTTGCCCCAGTCCTAGGCCTTCAGTTGGGTTTTATAAAACCTTTTCGCTTTAGCCCTCTGCCGCCGTGTGCAAAAAAAAAAAAAAAAAGTTCAATCAGTCAATTTCAACTTCTCACAGGAAAAAAAAAGATCTTGTAAAGTTGGAATTGATTGATTGAACTTTTTAGCCCCACCCAGTCTGCCGTTACCACCCCAGCCACGCCCACCCAATGGGCCACACCTGCCCGGCACTCGAAGATGCATAAGTGGGTTTTAGGTTGCAGTTTGGGCGCTCGGTCTCTAAAAGGTTCGCCATCACTGATCTAGGGAATAATGAGAATCGACCATACACACAACTATATAAGCACTATGTATTTCAGCTGCTTTGAAATTTTTAATTTGTGCCATGCCTCCTGGACATTACTTACTATGATACTTTCTGCATTTCATTCATTATTTATCAACCACAATTGGAACAGGCAACTTGGTTGTTAAACAAAGCAGTCACTAGGTGAAACCATGACTATGCTTATGATTTTACTTCAGCTTTCCTTTGCTTTACAGACCTGCAAAGGTTGTAAATGAGAAGACCCATCACCATTATAATTGTGATCTGTCTCTAAACAAGATAATCACTAAACAAGGGCTATCTTTAATGCACTTGGCAAGATGTAATCTATAGCTAGCAGAAAAATATAATTAATTTTATTACAGCATAATAATTTATAAAACCTTAATTCTCTTATGTTTCTTCTTGCAACAGCCAATTATGACTTTTGTTTTTTTCTTCAGGAAAAACTTGTCTTTTGAGGACAATGAAAAGTCAGCTTTCTAATGGCTTCTGTGTTGTTATTTTTTTTAAAAAATGCAATGATTAATCAAGATATAAAGACAATGATATAGATTAATTACAATAACTATCATTTAATAACTATATTGTAAGCATTGTATCTGTCATTGTAGGAATCCAGTTGTCTGGAAAAAACCCTCCCTAACTAATGTGAACCTGAAGAACAGCCAAACATCAAGAACTCAGAAAAAAAATTGAAAAACTATAAACAGATAAAATGAGTGCTTCTGGAGGGAATTGTGGAAGCCCCAATTCTACAGAACATGCAGTTGACTATTTCAAGGAACTATGGTCCAAACTGAAAGAATGTCATGATAAAGAAGTCAAAGGTATGGTTGCTGTGTGTATTTTGTATTTGGCAAATTAATATTGGCAGCCATGGGTTATTTCTAAATTAGCAAATTAGCTGTAAAATAATGTAATTCCTAAGATAAAATTGTTTGCTAGTTTTAAGAATCCTTACTGAGTTCATGTGGTTGGGATTCACATTTTAATATACTGAGTTTTTCATTGACTTTTTCGCCATGTATATAAAATTTGGTGACATCATATCACAGTGGCAGTCAAGATCAATAGGTATGTATTATTTCAAGTGAAAGTGTGTTGGTCTTGTTTGAATGTTTGTTGGTACGTGTTTGAATTTTATTGGTTATTGGTTTTTTTCATGGCTTAGTCACATAACAGAAACTGATTCTAACAGTTCTTAGCATATTCAGCCTTATATCAATTTATCTTGTTTGAGTTTACCATAAGCTGTAAAGCAGATTAAATACTTTGTAAAGCGATGAAGTGTTTCCCACTTTAATCATTTGAATGCAATTATATAGTACATAGGTTAAGCAAGCTGCACACAAAGTAAATACAGTTGAGTTTTATATACCTTTTCTTTTTTATCATATTTAAAAAGTATAATGATAGATATGAAGATTCCAGTGGTGAAGAATCTGATGGATCCAAGATCCACAGTATAATCCTGTAATATCTTTTAAATCAGAAGCAAAGCCCATTATGTTCAGTAGTCAGTCTTACACAACCAAAGATGTGTAATGATGATAGAATATTTAACTAGGATATTCCTGTATGCTTGGAGAACTCTCCAAGTTCCATCTAAATAGATCAACAAAAGATGCTATCAGATTCCAAGAATCAAAAAGAAAACTGTTATGCTATTTTATCTAGCTTATTACCATAGAAAAGTACCATGAGATATTAAGAACTTGTTACAGCAATCCATTAGTGAAACTGATATCATTAGCTAAGAAGATTAGGATCAAGGAGACAGAATAATATCTAAAAGTCTGTCTCACAAAATAATTAAAGCAAGATATATGACATAACAATTAAAATTTACTTAGTTATAGATGTCTGCTGAAATACCTGGTTGACATTTGGAGCAATGATTACAAAATGCCTGGTGTGAAACAAAACTATTGTCTTATTTTTCAAAACTTTTAATAGCAAGTTTAAAACCTATCCGGAATATTTAATCAAAAACATATTACGTATACTAAGAAAAAGGTCTCACTTTGGAATTTTAATGAAGACTGTAGGTGTGTCAGTGCAAACAGATAAAGTGGATTTTTTTTATGTTCTGAAACTTTGTTAGTGTATTCTGTGTAATGCATGGCAAATTTAGAATCTGTATGATTTTATCAAAAAACATGCCCAAAGGATTGTTTTTTCAAAAGATGGTGATTGTACAATAGAACCATATGATGATAAATAAGGCAAACACAGACTTGTCAGGACTATGTTTCTGAAGTCTATAAATAAGAATTAAAACTGACTCATGATTTTTAATTTTAGATGTCAGCAAAATATGCTTTATAAAATAGAAGTCTGTAATCAGTGAGTTTTGTTTTTTGGTTAAGTTTGTCGCATAGAGCCATATTTTATGTCTTTTTTAATTATCTGGTTTTTAATAAAAATGGCTGAGATAAATGTGATCAAGTAGACATTATACTATGCTTAATGTTAGTTGCTTTGGCTTAAAATGCACATTTCTTTGTAAAAATTACTTTTTTTCTCTCAGTTTTGATTTGAAACAAGTGAACTTGATCAAAACAGAGTCATTCAGAAAGCAAATATGTGCTAATATAATGAAAGGATTATAAGGGCATGTTTGATGGGCAAGAAAGCTCTTTCTGCAACTTGTGGCATGTCTGGCCTTTCTTTATTTTATCTTTGGAGATCAGAATTAAGTACCTAAATGGGAAAAAAATTAGGTGAAAGACTTACATAGAAGAACTGATAGGGAAGGATAAGCAACTACAGTACTCCTTTTTCCCCATCCACCTTAGCACCTTTGCACATTATTTACAATCATATACTTGTCTGGGAAAAATAAATCTCTTGAAATGAGAGTAGCTGACTAAACTAAGTGTAAGTAGTCCTTGCATACCAACTGTTCATTCAATGACTATTCAAAGTTATGATACTGAAAAAGGAGATACACAACTGATCCTCAAAGCTTCAGCTGTTGCAGTGTCCCAGGGGCCACATAGTTGTGATTTGGACACTTGGGAACTGTTGTGCATGTATGGCAGTTGTAGTGTTGCGTAGTCACACGATTGCCATTTGTGAACTTCATGACTGGCTTCCAGGAAGCAAAGTCAATGGGAAAGCCAACAGGAATTTGCAAGTTGCAGTCACGTGATCTCATATTTAACAACTGCAAGTGATTCTCTTCCTAACCGCAGCATGGTGATTTTTCATTTACAACAGGTTGCTTAGTAATAGAGTTGCTAAATACAATTGCAGTCAGTAAATGAGGACTAGTCAGTTACTGAAACCTTGCTCCATAAATAAGGTTGAATCCAAATAATTTAATCTGAATCCACTACTCTAGGCTATAATTTAATTTATTTTAGTAATGTTTATATAATGAGCTTATGGAAATTTACTAATTATTATAAACTTGTTCTAAACACGTTAATGAGAATTTCAGCCCTTGTAAAAATATAGAACATGCTCTGTAGCTGCGTTGTGGTGCACTTTCTTAGAAGATGCAAAGGAACAATATAAAGTCATTTCATCTTCAACCCACTTGGATTACTCTTGCTTAGATATAAATATCACAACAGTGATTAATTATAACTGTATTAAGTGATTAATTATAACTGTATTAATGAAAGGAAATGATAATGATTCTAGTTCTATGAAAACCACTTTTTGTCATAAAAGTGAATGCCAAAATTCTTATTTAATGTTTGAAAATTCCTCCAGGAAGATTTCTGGTTTAGATGAAATTTGATCACTTTAATTACAGGATATAAGCAATGTTTGTTTAGTGACAATTCAGGTTGCTAATATCACATTTCTAAATACTCTCCAAAACAGGAGTTCATTGTATTATAGATTCATTCTTTCTTTTTTCTTTTTTAAATAAATTTTTATTGATTTTTCATTGAAAAACAAAAACATAAATCTTTTATCACAATATCAATCAAAGAATAAAATTTTTTTAACACCAATCAATACATTCACGGACGTGTCCGGTGTCCCCCTCCCGCACCACCCTCTCACTTACCTACACCTTCCTCCTCCCTAACCTACCACCACTCCTCCTTCCTCCCTCTTACCTACCTTCCTTTCCCCCTCAACCATCCCGTCAGTGCAGTTGGGGTATCACCGGGCACCTCCTTAGAAAATCATACATATATATATACATATAAATCTCTAATACCAACCTACCCCTTTCCCCCCTCCCCCCCCCAGGACTTCCCAGAGCTTCCCAGATTCATTCTTTCTGATGGGTGTTGAAAGGGAATAAAATGGAATGATTTTTAGATATCTAATTGTTATCTGGCTGACTGGCTGATTTGAGATGCATGTTTTTTAAACTTATATTTTCTTCTGAAGTAGTTTTCAGTCACTTTCCAGTTTGTGACTATGACATTCAACTTTAGCATGATTATTGTTTTCTAAATAGAAACTGAATTTTGAAATATTTGCAGAATTGTAATTACTTATTTATTGCATTCAGTAATAACTTACATTATTAAGCTACTGTATCAAGTAACTTCATATAATCAGGTATAAAATTCTATCTCATTCTGATTTCTTCCTACTGTTGAGAACTGAAACAGCTTTGGCTATCAAGAATCCATGCCAATACCATTTTTACAAAGAATAATCTCCTGGTCACAATCTTGCTTCACTACTTTTTTTTCTTATATTATATAGATATACAATAATTGGTTATAGTAATTACAGATTATTACAAATTATTGCTGAAATTGGCTTAAGGGGCTAAAGTGAAAGAAAATCAGTTTTCAGTTGAATGGGACTGTTTAGTAGACCTGAAATTTTTATTTAAGAATATATGTGCATGCATCATTTTTCTCTCCTTTCTGAAATATATAAATATATTTCTATTCTTTATCTTTTTTATATGCAAATAGTCTCTAGCATTGAAGTTCCATGTAGTCAGTTTTGACTCATGGAGATTATATGGACAAATTCTTGCTATCATGACCTGACTCTGATAATAGCCTGTAGCTATTTCAAAATCATTCCAAGAATTTATTCGAACTTGTCAATCTACCTTCTATGTTGTACTCCTCTTCTACTTTCCGTAACTTTAGCAAGCATAATAATTCTTTATAGTCTATCTTTTTCTTTTTCCTATGCCAAGTGGAGATCAGTTTCTGCTTGCTTATCAACACTTCTAAAGAACAGTCAGCCATTATTGTTCCAAGATTTGGTCTGGCAGTCCAAGACATTTTTGTAACCATTTCCAAATCCATAATATAGTACAAAGATAAATTGTTTCCAGATTGCACAGCTATAGATTATCACTGGAAAGACCAATATTTTTTAACTATTCTGAACTTTGTTGTCATTATTTAAGTTGGCAGTTGCTTTTCTCTATAGGACTAATCTCTTTACTTTGCCAACAGTCTCCCTCTTTGCTACTTTTCAATCAAGAAACAAATAATGTTTTCAATTCTTTACCATCAGCTGTTAGTTCACTAAGCATATAGGTTGCCATTACCATTGTTTTAGTAGAAAAGGCAACCAAGATAGAAGTTACAACTGGTGTGATTTTTAACTATCTTCTGGATGGAAGAGAGAGCTTTTGGTATATGTATGCTGTGATAGCTATTTTGTAGGACTATCTCTGAAGTTTATATGCTGTGGCTGATTTCACCCTATAGGAATGCAGAGTATAGGTCTTCCATGCTGTAAGAGTTTCCGTGGTTGACAATTTATTCTTAGACTAAATTTCAGCTATTGGTTTGATATATCATCCTTAGCTTGATTTTGTGATTCTATCCTATAATGTTTAGTGACAAACTTTGTACAGGTATTCTAACAATCTGGAAAGTTGTAGACTTTTAGAAAAAATAATTGGTCTGTAGCTAAAGTTGGAAGAGTAACTTTTTGTCTGTTTTACTTTCTAACTTACCTTTTTATATATTTTATTTTATTTTGCTGTTATCTGTTCTGAGAGCTGAGTAACTGACATGAAAATCAAACCATAACTAAATAAATATTTAAATAACATTTTCTTATATTTCCAGAGAGTACATGGGCAATTTGTTGGCAATCCCAGTTTCTATACTGTACCTCTGAATGAAAGATCTTCTTTAATTTATCAGATTATAGAAATTTTAAACAAAGAATTAATTCTATCCTGTCTTCTTTTCTTAGGATTATTGTCAAAGATCTCTAAACTGAAAACAGAAAGGTGTCTGTAAGTACCTTGAGCAAAAAAATGTTCTTGATTAGATGGTAATAGTTGAGATGGCCACTTTATTCATGGCCAATTACTATATATATCAAATTAAGATATGTAAGTTTTGCAAGAAAAAACCTTTATAACTATTACCTTCTTAATTCCTGCATGTTGTTGTTGTTATTGTTATACTTTTATCTTGACTTTTTGATGCATAACTCAAAGTGTCAAACATGCTTAATATTCCTATTTTACTTACAACAACAGCCCTTAAGGTGGGCTGGGTTGAAAGACTTCCGGGCCCCAAATCATCCAGCTTTCATGCATAAGGGAGACCTAGAACTCACAGTCTCCTGGTTTCTAGGCGAGTAATCTTAAACACTATACCAAATAAGTTGGAAATTAAACCCTATTTAATGTACAGGTAGTCCTCAACTTAACAACAGTTCATTTAGTGACCGTTCAAAGTTACAATGGCACTAAAAACAGAGACTTATGACTGTTTTTCACATTTACGACCATTGCAGTATCCCCATGATCATGTGATCAAAATTCAGATGCTTGGTGACTGGTTCATATTTATGACTGTTGCTTTGTCCCAAGGTCATGTGATCACCTTTTGCAACCTTCTGACAAAAAGTCAATGGGGAAGCCAGATTCACTTAACAACTGAGGCAAGAAAGGTTGTAAAATGGGGCAAAACTCACTTAACAAATGTCTTACTTAACAACAGAAATTTTGGGCTCAATTGTGGGTGTAAGTCGACTACCTGTATGTGAAAAATGTTGGGGCTGAAATTTTTATATTGGGAACAACATCTTTTAAAACAATGGGAATCTTTCAAGTAAATGTACCTAGGATGCTGCTGATTGCACATACCAAGATAGCTGGGAGCAGCTTATAAAGCATCTGTATAGTTTTGCACAAAACTATAGCACTACAGTATTATTAAAAATTTCCATTTTTCTTTCAGGTTGTTTATAATAGAGACCCAGTGCAGCTACATTTATGTCATTTGTAATACGCTATGGATGAAACTTGTTATTTATTACCATTTAAATCTATCAGTTTTGTAAGATAGAATTTGTATTCAGTCCAAATGTTAGTACTCATAGCTATTTGTTAACTCTGAAGTAACAGGATTTCTTCTTAATAAAACTATACCTAATCCCATACATTCTCAATTTAAAAATTAATTTTCCTTTATATACAGAGATGCAGCAAGGCTTGATGAGTTCTATGTAAAAAACCAGCAGCTTAGAGAACAACAAAAATCATTGCAAGATACTATTACAGTTTTAGAAGATCGGTAAGTAAGAATTATTTCTTTTTGCTTACAGAATTCGGCTACTTTTTCTTTAGTACAGATTTAAAGGAATAGTCCTAAATTAGTTACAGATTTTATTCAGTAGATAATCAATGATTACTTAGTAGTAATATTATCTTTAATATAGATTTAATGTTTAACAAAATAGTAATCACAACTCAGAATTTATAGGAAACAAACGGGAGAGATTTCATGCAGTACTTATTGGCATATAATAATTTCCCAAAAAGATTAGACTCTTCATATTTTTTTCTCACTTCTTTGTAGGATAATTCTTTTATATTTTGTAATCTACTCCTTTGTTTCTCTTATGAAGCAAAGTTCTCTGGCTATAAGAAATTGCAAGCACTTTTTTGCAATTCCTCATTTTACTCTAACCTTATAGAAAAACAATATGTCCAGATTCGAATTTTTTTTTTAAAACAGGTATTTCTTGCTTGTCTTTTCTTTCTGCATTTCTGTAGAAATTCAGAGAAAGAAGAGTGGAATAATGTTAAGATTCTAATGAAACCTCCCAAATCTCTGTTCCTAATATTTATCGTTCCTGTGTCAAACATCACATCTGTTATGAGTTCCTGTGAGAAGTACATACCTCAGTACTAGATAGCTCAATTAATCATAATGATATATCCAGAAAAATTGAGTTTTAGTCCTGATATATTTGGCATATTTTTGTCAGAGATGTGTATATAAATTACACTATATGGTGAATGTGAATGTATCCTTCGGAGAGAAAATCTAGTTCTGCAATATTAGGTAGATTTAAAGTTGATTGAACAGCAAGAATTCTGACACTAAAACCACATTTTTGCTTCTATCTGCATATGCTTATTATATATAATAAAAAATGTAGATCAACCAATAGTTTAAAATTAATGTTAGAGCTGTACTCCTAAAAGTGCATACTAAATTCCATTAGGCGTAATGGGAGTTTTAAACAAAATGCAGAAGATTATTTTGCATTTGTTGCTGTAATTGGATGCAGAAAGTCCAAATATACATGAAATGCTACAGGCTTCTTTCCTGAGCCCTGTGTTGTTCAGCCTTAATGTCTTTGATGAAGAAGTTAAAGTGATGATGATGATGCAGAACTAGGACTGGCTAAAGTAAATAAAGTTTCAGAAAGATACATATTTACTTAAACAGTGGTCTGAAATGAACATGAAATTAAATTAAGTGAAATTAAATCTAACATAGGAAGGGGAAGGATAGACAGCATAGGATGGGAAAGGCCTGGTTTAGCAGTAGCATGTGTGAAAAAATCAGAGCGCTCTAATAGATCGTGCACTGAATATAAGTCAACATTAATGGAGCAGCTAGAAAGGTAAATGCTATGTTAAGATATATTTACAGGAATATAGAGTTCAGATCATAGGAAGTAATTATCCTACTCTACTGTGCCTTGTTTGGCTCCACTTGGAATATTATGTTCATTTCAGGACTTCACAGTTAAAAAATGACTTTTATAAATTGGTGCAAGTTCAGGTGAAGATCACTGAGATGGCAAAAGAGAATTGAAAACCAAGTCCTGGAATGAACAGTTAAGGGGACTGGGTATATTTAGCCTGCAGCAGAAATGACTTAAAGTGAGAAATGGGAATCTACCTGAGGGTTGGACTAGAATGACCTCTGATCCCGATCAACTATGGGTCTATAATACCATGTTGCTTTTTAATATTTTCTGGTATGTTTTAATTTTTTCCCTCAAATATATATATACTGTCATTATTTTTAGTGATGGCTTTACTGAACTAACAGAACGACCATATTTACTTAATCGTGCCAGGTTAATAAGTTGAAATACAGATGAAACTTTTGCTTTCAGATTGCCCTTTTCTTCGGGGTGCAAGCAAACAAACCCGAAATCTGTAATAACAAGCTTATGAATGTTAGAATGCTATTGACAGAACTTGCATGACACATAATAAAGATAAACTTAGTGTATCATTTGAATCCCTTCTAGGCTTAAGCTGGTAGTTAATAGAGAAACTTTATAGCAGAATCTGGAATCCTGCTTCACTTAGCACTTGCTCTGCATGAACCCAGATAAAGAAGTTAAATAATTAAAAGCTCCTATTCTCTAAGCATAAAGTCAATGGTAGTAGCAGGCACAACTAGAATTGCTCCTGCCATAGCAATTTGGCCACTCATGGATCTCCTGAACACCCTATTTGTATTAGTATGTAAAGATTAGCTCCCTGGTGGGTAAGGACTGACTGGCCAGCTACAGTGAAGAGAGAAAAAGGCAGAGTGATTTGCTTGTTCTTATGCTAGGCACCCAGAGTTTGCCAAAATAAATGGGCACGCATGCTATGTGAACGCACTTTCTGCTTGGATAAGAGAAGCAGAACAACTATATGCTTTTCAAAAGTCTTCCTTTTAAAAAAAAATACTGTTAGAGTAATGGCTTCTTGCTATATTACTGGATCAGAAGTTCCTTTAAAATATTGCTTATCCATAATGTTTGTTGAACTCTGGGCGAGACCAAAAATAGGTCTTTTTACAACATCCCATAGGTCAGTGATGGCGAACCTTTTAGAGACTGAGTGCCCAAAAATTGGCCCCGCCCCCACTTCATCCCTGCCCCACCTGCCTGCAGGGCCACTCACTGCCTCCAGGGCCGCCGCACTCCACCCCTGCCCTGCCCCCACCCCATCCCCTGCCCCGCCTGCCCGCAGGGCCACTCACCGCCTCCAGGGCCCGCCGCAAATCGCCCAGGCAGCCCAGCAGTGCCATGGCGGCCACACCCTCTGCCCGCACCCTGCAGCATCAACTGCGCGATGGGACGTGAGGGCAGAGTCTTGTGTGCGCTGCCTGGCTGCCATGTCCTTGGCTGCGCTGCTCCGTGTGGGCCACGCTCGGGGGCGACTCTCCAGGGGGGCTGCTGGTGAGGAGGGGGTCATAGGAGGCGAGGCTGGGGCAACGGCACATGTGCCCACAGAGAGGGCTCCGAGTGCCGCCTCTGGCACGCGTGTCATAGGTTTGCCACCACTGACATAGCTCATTTGGCCTCTCAGATTTCTAATGTCATAGGCCTATAATTTTTTATTAAAACTTTTAAAGTTTTCAGAACATAAAAATATAATTTAATATTTTTGCTTTGCATTCTATACTTAAGGTATTTGTTTTCCTGCAGAATAACATTAGAACTGAGCTATTGAAGATAGCATTTATATTGAAGGTTCATATCTGAATGTGCCATATTGGATCAGATAATGGCTGAGTTGTAAGGAATTTTTTTCAATAATATCCAGCTATGAATTTTCTGGAGAATATTCAAGAACTGTAAAATAAGAACATATGTGAGAAGAAATGTTTTTCTCTCACAAATAATATTTTCTTCACTCAATGATCAGAAATTGGAGTTAACCCAGAAACATGCTTCAATATTTATAAGTATTTCAGTTACTACAAAGCAATTATTGAACGATTACTTGCAAGCAAATCCTGCAATGTTCAATAAGTCTTAATACCTTGTAAGTATGCTTATGATTTCAGCCTTAATGTTTGTATATCCTATTAGCCAAATCTTTATAATTTATCATAAGCCCATCTTTAGAGTGCGCTGACTTATATAGTACTTTCAAAATTTATATTGAACCAAAAACAGATGGAGAAAATACACCTTCTAATTACATAGGTTAAGGGCAGGATTGTGTGATCGTTGTGCAGTAACTGAAGAGCATATGAAGAAGAAACAACAGGAATTTGAAAATATTCGGCAACAGAACCTTAAGTTAATCACTGAACTGAGTGAGTTTTATCATCCTTTTGTCATAACGCCATTGTTTTTGCATTTGTGGATTTGTGTCGCTATTGTCCTTCAATCAGAGATAATCCCATAGGAGGATTTCTGCATAAAATCATTTACCCAGTAGTAAGCTCAATTTAATTTAATTTAATTTAATTTAATATACCAGTAGAAGAGAATATAGCTCAGGGTTGGATTGTGAGGTCCTTGATGCTCTCTGAGCTTGGTTGTTTTCTTGCTGACATTTTATTAACCAGCTAGGGTAACTAGCATTGATGATGTTACTAGTTGGGTAATGAAACATCTTCAAGAAAAGAACTAAGCTCAGAGAGCATCAAGGACTTCACAATTAACCTGGTATGCTTCAAAAGAGATATGTGAGGGATTGCACTATTAATGCCATATATTTTGGAGGATTCATGAAATATACTTTAACAACTTTTCAAAGTTATTAATATAGTAAGATGGAAAGCTTTTATTTGTTTGAGACAAAATTAAAAAAGATTTTACTTGATGTTGAACTAAATTACCAAGAACATTTCATTTAGACTTGATTCGGTGGATACATTTGCTCACATATCACATTTGTATTAAGATATAATTTTGTTTCAAATTCTGAACCTGTGTCATGTGAGTGCTCAACAATTCTAATTCTTAACAATTAAGGAATATTCTGATGTGATGAAAAAGGTAAAATAAGAAAAGATTTATTGCCAAACCTTATGATGAATGTAATTGATTTATAAAGTATTGTATGAAATATTCCATTTACATTATTATGTACTGTAAATCCATTTAGTGTTATCTTAGTGATTTTATATATATATAGTTTGTGGAAAAGGACAGAAGAAGATAAAACACAGCAGAAAATTATAATGCTTTCATTTTATTTCAGTGAACGAAAGAAACAACTTACAGGATGAAAATAAAAAGATTTCCGAAAAGCTTCAGAAAATGCTGCAAAAAATTGAGTAAGTTTGTTTATAAATGTAAAAGACAAAATTATCTCAGAAGAAGTGAAAGAGATCTTGTATATCATACCAAGAAAAATGCATGGATGTATCTGTTTAAGTTATTATTAGTCAAGCTCAGGTATAGACAATTATAAACTTTTGTGTGTGTGCTGGAAAAAAGACATCTTAATGACATAAGCAGAAGTCCATAACTTTACTAATAGAGGCAAGTACCCACACTCAGTGCAACATGAGACACTCATTTTCCTAAACAAAAAAAAGTTCTACTTTCGTAAAATACTGCTAAGTACTTCAGTTTTTTTTTTAAAAAAAAACTTTCATCTCTGAATGTCATGTTCAAAATATTCAAAAATCCGCTGTGTTTTTCAGTTAAGAGAAAAATAGGAGTTCAATGAATAAATAAAAACAAAGGTTAGCTCCTTGCTGAGAGAATTTCCTTTACATTTAGTTCAATCTTTAGTACTATAAAATATTTGGATTGGGAATATAGTGGAGATGATCATAGCAATACCAAACTGTATTTACTAGATAAGCTAAGGTTATCTGCAATTCTTATCTACAATTCTAAATGAAGTTGGGAAATGACCTCTTGTCATTTCCAGTTAATGTTTTTAAACTTGCATAATTTACAATCTTTATAATCATCATTTATATGCATACTGCTTTTTTTTTTTAACCAGTATTTTCTTCCAAGTTTTATCAGTTGCTCTATGCTTCTTCCAGGTTGTTATCTTTGAAGGCTGGAAAGGCTGAAACATTTCTGTTTTCCACCTTTACTGCTGGTTTTTTTTCTGAAGTTACTTTCCTGATCATTTCCAGCTATTATGGACTTTCTGATTATTATTATGTAATTCATAGTGCTTTTTCATCCCTCTCAGTAATTTCTCCAGGCATAGGAGCTCCCTTCTTCCTTAATTTCACCTCTGTTTACTACTCTCCTTCTCCAGTTCAGGTAAGAGAAGAAGAAAAAAGGATATGGAAATAACCATGACTTTCACTGAGTCGGTCTCCAGGAAAATGAGAGAATGGGGGAGGTTGATGTATTTAGCCTTTATTCATATTGTTCTATGGTTTTCTTAGGGAGCAAGAGCAATATACGGAAGACGTTATTCCAGATTCACCAGTTCAGTCCCTGTCACTTTCAATGGTTAATCGAATGCGGCGTAAACGAGAAAATAGGCATGTCCGGTACACAGAACAAAAGTGTACAGATATGGAAAAGAAAGGAACAAAATATGGTATAGTTTTTAATAATTAATTCTTCCCCTAAAGTAGTTGGAAATAATTTTAATTTCAAAGGTAACAGAGAACAATAGTTTTTTTTTGTGCTCCTTTTTTGCCTGTTAAATCAGCTCAATATTTAACCCTTGTTTTCAATACTAGCAAACTAAAATCATCAGAATGTAGACATTTGAATATAAGTAGTTCAGTTAAGTAATATTTTCAGTAATTTAAGCATCAGTTTCATTGAAATAATACAAATGTATCTTCAAAAATGTTATGCAGCATAAAAAACAAGTTCTTAATTTTAGTTGCTCCACTTTAAGCATTACATCACCACCCTGTGGACAATAGAAGGATTTTAATTTTATGATATCCAAGTTTAAATTAGAATAAAAGAAAATATAGATGATAAACTATTGTTTAAAATCTTTTAGTCATAGACACACAAGCATACAGACAGAGATGGACACAGAGAGAGAGAGAGTTATTTAAAATTGTGATTTTAATCTGAAGTATAGCTGTTATTTAATGAAAAAGCATGTTTAAAATATTTACTCAAGGAGCAGGTAGCAATAATGGCTAGGAAGGCCAGTTACAGCCCTTCCTGAATTGGAAGGCCCTTCTCTCATTCACTCATGTCTTGGTCATCTTCCATATGAGCTATTGCAATGTGTTTTAAATGGGGCTACTCTTGAAGAATATCCAGAAGCTGCAGCTCCAAGGTCTGCTGTGTGAGCTACATTGGGTACCAGTGTGCTTCTGGATTCACCTTTAAAGCCCTTCATGGCATGGGACCAAGTTACCTGAGGAACCATCTTTTTTCAATTGCATTGACCCATCCCACCCACCCAGGCAGGCAGGAAAGGTATGTTATGGATCCTGTTGGTTAAAGAATTTTGACTAGTAGAAAAGAGTCTTCTCTGCCATTGCCATTGCCATATGGAATATCATGTCTCCAGAGATAATGTTGGCCTCCACTTTTTTATGCCTTCCAGAAGAGTGTGAAGACCTGGCTCTGCCAACTGGCATTGAGTTCAAGGAGTGGCATATAACCCTGGGGTTGGCTGGTGGCTTCAGGGTACTCCCTTCAGCTTTTTTATCTTAGTCGTTTTTTTATTTATCTTTTAAATTCTTATTTTATTTTTCACTCTGTTTTAAATGTTTTTAATTATATTTGTCTTATATGGCTTTATCATTTGTTTCAGTAAACCACCCAGAGACATGGATAGTGAGATGGGCAATGTGTAAATTTGATAAATAAATAATGCCTAAGCTTTTAAGCCAGGCTATTATTCATACAGCTAGAGATAAAAATACAAATTGAAAATAATAAAAGCAATTCTCCTGCTATGTATAAGTTGTACTACAAGATGAAATTTTTGAAATGCTTTTATTTTTAAACAATACTATTTCTTAAATACTTAAAATATAGTTATGTATTTATTTGAAAATCATAACTTGGACACATACATTCAGTATTATAGCTCTTTATGTACAACAGTCGCTTCTTTGTCTTTTAAACTGCATAGAATTCTTTTGGATATTCCAGTTTCTGTTCAAATATGCTTGTTTATAATTTAGTTTTTAAATATATAATGGGTTTGAAATAGATTAACTTCAGGTTTTTTTTAAAAAAAATTCAATAATGGTAAAATCTATAAGAAAGTAAACCTATCCTGTGATCTAAGTTTTTATAACTCTCTGTTCTTGAAAGTATCTGGTTAGCCATTGACAAAAGCAGAATATTTTATTTAATTTTTATATATTATATTCTAGATTTCATTATATATCACTGTACATACCTGCCTAATTTAGACTACTAAATAACACTAAGCTGTTCTTTGGTCAGTATCTTTTGTTCAGTACCCAAGTCCTCAAACCTTAAATGTTCTCCAATTTTTAAGCTTGCATACTTCAGGTACTTCTAAATCTAAATAAATGCATTTTTTCCCTACTATTATGAACAGAAAGTAACTTTTTTTACAACACAGTTTAATGGCTAATCAAAATATTGAAACCAATTAAAATCTACAGCCATCTGCTTACTTCTGACATCTAAAAGCCAATCAAGACAAAGAGCACCACTTTAATGGAAATCCACAGATGTTCAGATTGTTGCATAGAATTTTCAGTAATTAATACAAAAATATTTTGTGGGGAATTTTGACTAGTAGGTTGGTAGTTATGTTCTATTATGTAAGCATAATGTAAATTGTTTAAAGTACATACTGAATTTGTGCTTTATTGAAATTTGAATCAATACATCTAGTTCTTACTCAGCTATTTTGCTGACTTGTTTACATACAAAAACTACTCAAAACTCTCAGAGAAAAAGGATTTATGCATCCAGGTCTATTCAGCTTTTATTTATCTATTTATCATTCTACTACTGAGGCTGCCTAACTTTATACCAGCTCTGGGTAGCTTATAGATAGAGATCAGAAGAAAACAAAATATATCAAGAAGAAAAGCAGGACAGTTAACCAGAAACCAAAACCATTTGGGATCTAAGCAGTGGTGGGATTAAAATATGTGAACAACCGGTTTTCTGTGTGGATGCTGCATCCGGAAGTCCATTCTGGGCCTGGGCAACAAAAAATTAGCTACCAGTTCTGCCAAAGTTGTGCGAACTGGCTGAATCCCACCACTGGATCTAAGCATGTCAGGATTTTTTTAAAAAGTTTTCTATAAATATTTAAATACAAATTCTGAATTTTATTTTATTTTTCTTTGTAGAATTTGGAAATATTCCATTGTCATCCACTCAAAAGCATGTTTGTTCTGAAGAAGAAATATTGGTGGCAGATACATGTGATCCACAGTTGTCCCCAGATTCAGGTAAATATCACCAATTTTAGCATTATTTAACATTTAATAAGTAGTAACCCTATTATTTAATAACAAAGAAATGAATTGTTTTAAAGAGATCTCTTATAATTTTTTTTAGTTAGAAAAGAAACAGATGTTCAAATAGTTCATTCTGAAATATTTTTGAAGAAAACAGATGGAACAGTAATGCAATTATAGTATAACTTTATGTAAATTAATTATTCTTAGCTTAGCTGTTTATCTGCCACAAGCTTGTCTAGCTTAAGCAGTCAGCTGCATAATATTGGAAGCTTATTTTCTCGTATAACTTTTAAGATTTTTATCAACAAATTAAAATTAAGCAGAATCAAGATTCAAGATTCAGCTTTTACTGGAATGTAATAACTATAATTTGCAGTCAGAAAAACTATGTTGCCAAGAATTTATGACATGCTATTATATCTGCGGGCGGGATGCTAAGTTAGAAAATAACTGCCTCAGAAATTTAATATGCATATGTTTTAATATTGATCCAGCCAATACTATTTTAGGGTAGTTTAGTGTAATTGATTTTTGGTTAAGAAATATAAGTTAAAATTTAAAATTTCAGGTTCTATGTATATTGCAATAGAAAAAGTTTTCTGATGTTTCTAATAAGTTTTTAAACATATTAGAACAGTATTCAGTGTGTTCTGGAGGTTTTTTGACACTCAGAAAATTTGATATAGATATGTTATGAGGATATACATATTTGGGTTAAGTTGGAAATTTGTAACAGAAGTGTGGTGAATGTAATCTTGATGAGGAGGCCAAATTAGACCTACTCAGGCAAGTTTTTTATATGTGCCATGAATTGTTTAAAAATATTTTTCTTCAAGACATCCCACCAGGCTGCAAGAAGCAACAAAGAACCTCAGCAAATTATTGCATCAGCAAAGCAACATGCAGGGATCAAAAGCCTGAATATTTTCTCCCTGCCTCCTTTTAATCTGTGTTTTTCTTTTTTTTACTGCTTGTATATTTATTTTAGTTCTTTGTTTTTAGCACTTTGGGACCCAGCTTGGCTGAAAAACAGGAGGTAGCTTTAATAAATACTGATTTCTTTGGTCAGTCACTTAAGGTCAGCTTGGTAATTTGTGCTTAGCAACGAGAGTGATGGCATTGTTATAAAGCATTTTTATGCTTTTCAGATTCTTCACTTTTCAAGCAGCATTGAAAAACATAATTTTGCAGAGATTCCAATAACAGTTCTTTTAACATTTGCTTTTTAATATCTGTACATTAAAGGAATTATTTCTGCAATACATAGACACACACATATGATGGTGTTCCCTTTCATAATAAGTAATGTTATTCAAAGGACAGAAGAAGTAAGAAATAAGGAACAAAAGGAACTAAAGATGTGAGGTAAAAGAAAGGGAAAGGAAATATAGCTAAATCTAGTTCACTATAACATGGTTTACCTCTTTTCACTTTGTTCCTTTTCTTCAATGTCCATTTTCTCAAGGTCACATTTGACTACTAAGAAATAATCTGTCCCATATTCAGAATATCTCATCATCTTTGTATATCCATCACTAATTCTCTCAGTATTTCATCAAAAACAATTGAATCAGTCATGCTTTTAGATACAAATTCCTTCCTTTGCCATATGTGCTCATAAATAAGTTTATATGACATATTTGAAATAGCATTTTCTACACAGGTATACCCCAACAATCCCCACTGTCATTCATTTCTGGATCTCTGAATAGTTGAATCATTTTTCTGTAACTTCTTGGCTCATTCCTATTGTTTCTTTATGGCTCCTAAAATAATTTTCTCACCATTCAGTGGAATGGAAACCAGTTATCACCAATCTACAAATTAGTACTTTGATACTCATCCATAATAATCTTTATTATAGCATTCTGTACCTTATATGTTTTAGTACTTTTCATTCCTAATTAACCTTACAGATGTCTGTACGTATTCATACATTCAATTCCATTCCACATCTGTACTTCCATGCATGTATTAATATATTTAATTCCATTTCATAGGATAAAGCCACTTTGATTCAGAACTATTACTTATTTCTCATTTTCTCTTAATTTCATCAATATTCCACATACTATTTTGATCTATAAATATATAACCTAAATATGGACTACCAAAAATTTGAAAAAATGATTTTGTTGACAGCATTGATAAGAGAATATTAAATAGTCATACAGTTCATTTTCAATATTGACATATTGATTTTCAATATTGAGACTATACTACTGTACAGTAGATGATGAAACCAATCAAAATGGAGCAAAATGTTTGATCTAATGAACCACAAAAACTAGTAGCTTCCTGTTTATGACAACAAGTTTTGTATGTCTGATGAAAGCAAAGCAGGTTAGAGGATAAAAGAATGAGTTGAATCTAACACTTGGTAGGTCCATGAAAAAATGTGATAATTGCTCTCTACCAGGACTAGTGAAATTGAAATATGCTTATTACTAGATGTTGACCTCATAATACAGATTATGACTAATAAGAGATGCAGAACCCTAAGTAGCCAAAAAGTGGTCATTTCTGAATCAGACTATTAGCAAGAAGAATATTTCAGTGTCCAATAGCTTGTAAATGATTTGGCACAAGATTGTACCAATCTAACCAGTAGATTTTTTTTCTTCTTAAGATAGATGCAAAATTTAAATCTTAATTCAGTCTATGAAAGATTGAAAAGACTATTACCAAGAATGGGAAAATATTTATCTTTTTGCTGATATTTCCTTTTCCATTGGTACAGGCAAAGAAGTGAAAGAAGAATGTCCCAATACAATGCATTTTAATTTCAAGGCAGTTGTTGCAGAAACACTTGAATGTGATGAACATGTAAGTACTATTTTTATGCTCTATCACAAAGTCTATTTGAGATATTAATTTTCATACAGAAGAGTTTTGTTCCTTTTCCTTATTTCATCTAATGACTTACAAAACATAACACCAGCTGTTAAGCACAGTACATAAAGCAATCAGACATATGTAATTTATAATGGATTCTTCTGATCTTTTCCCAGAAAGCTAAATAAGAATGTAGATTCTAAAAATTGCAGTCTTACCTGTACGTTTTCATTATACCAAGGGAAATGATTACATCATTCCTACATCTGCATAATTTTTTAAACAAAATTACAGGAATGCTTGGCCTCAATTTGCTAGAAAGCAAATGACTAGAAATAAGCATGAAGGAATAGATACCAATCCTTTTGCACTGCTATATGCATTTCTTTGCTGAATAAATATAACTTCATTGTTTGACAGTAGTTCCTTAGTTATAGTTTTGGAACATAATTCATTTTTAATAAGCATGAACATTGTATAAAAAATCCTGTGCTCTCAGAACTAGGTTTGAGAAGGCATGCTGAATATTTTTAATACAAGTAGTATCAACAACTGACCAAGTTCTTCAAATATATTTTAACTATATGCAGGATAATTCACAGAGGCAGATAGGCTAATATTCAAAAGTACTGCTCAACAAAAGTTTCATTCATGTACTAATTCCTTAGTAATACACAAATAAATTTATTTGCATTTGAAAATTAGGTATAAATACATTTTTAAAACCAAGTAAACAGGTAATCCTCAACTTATAACCATTTGTTTAGTGACTGTTCGAAGTTACAATGGCACGGGGAAAAAGTGACTTATGACCATTTTTCATACTTAACGACTGTTGCAGCACCCACGTGATCACGTGATCAAAATTTGGACACTTGGCAACTGGCATGTATTTATGATGGTTGCAGTGTCCTGGGGTCATGTGATCATCTTTTGCAACCTTCTGACAAGTAAAGTCAATGATGAAGCCAGATTCACTTAACAATCATCTTAACAACTGCGGTGATTCACTTAACAACTGTGGCAAGAAAGATCGTAAAGTGGGGCAAAATTCACTTAACAACTGTCTTGCTTAGTCATGGAAATTTTGAGTGCAATTTTGGTCATAAGTTGAGGACTACAAAATACTTGGTTAGGAAGCCAAGGAACAGTTAGGTATCATATACAGTTCACTCAAATTTTCAGTATTCAAGGTTCTATATGTACTTTATTCCCCCTTTTTCATCCCACAAATCTCACTGAGAATTAAAAATTTTAAAACGAACTCTATATATGTACATATGATAATTCTGTGCTTTGTACACTGTTTGTATCTGGGATGATTGTCTTCTTTCAACCAGTTTGTTGGTCTGGTCTTAAGATTTTGAATTAATATTAATATTCTTTGTTCAGTTATATTCACTTTCTTAAGTGAATAAATATAATTGGGGCCCATTAGAAAATTATATTGTGCAATATTGGAATTATTGCTGAAATCATATTTTTTTTGTTCCATAGGAACCTCGCAGGAAACCACTTGGAGCTGCAAGAAAACAATTGGTTCAAGGGTATTATAAAAGTAATAGCGACAATTTAGAGTGAGTCTTCCTTTTTTTTTTTAAGAATGGAAAGATCATATTCTCCCACGTGTTTATTGATACTTTAGGATTATATTTGGATACATTCCTATAAATAATTTAGCCTGTTACATGTGATAAGTGGGTAACTACTAGGAGCATATTATTCTTAAAGACAATACCTGGTTTTAAAAATTCCTTTCCTACAGAAGATTGCCTGCTACTTACTTATATGTTTCTATAATGTTGTTAATGTGTCTTTAACAGCTTTTTCACGATTCCCTAAGTACCTGAGTCTGCTGCTCAACTTATGAACCTGTTGTATTATTAATTTTAATCCTTTTAATTCTTACTCATAAATGCTCATACATTTCAAAGATTTTAACTTTTTAAAATGTAATCAGCCTAAATAATTTTTATGGGAACATGTTATAAATAATAGATATACCAAAATCATTAAACATACTTGCAAGCAAATGAGTCTTGTTTTGTAATTTCCTTTAAACTTATTTATTTATAAAACTTAATTCTATTTAGATTTTCCAATCCATCTGAGGATCCTTCTTCACTTTCAACATGGGATTCCAAGATACCTTCTCCTGTTTTCGGGGCATCTGCCAATATTAAAAGTAGCTTAGGTTTCTCCCCATCTGTTGTAGCAGCTGAGAAAAAATCAAATCTGAAAAACAGATCCATCAATAACTCTTCCCTTTTAAGATCTGAGAAAGTGAGATCAAAATCTGAAGACATTGCTTTTATGAGCCTTGGGACTGAAATAGCAACAGTTCTCAATCAAACTTCAGTTGGTAGGCAAGTGGCTTTGAAACAGAATTCAGAGGAACCCATAACATGTGTGACCAATACACATCTGGATAAAAGTGACGTCATCAAAGGCGGCTTCCTTGCATCACAGAAACTGTTAGGGAACAGATGTTCCAGAAGGAAAAAAAATGATGAGAAGAGCAACCATGTAATCCGCTGTGAAAAAGAAAATGCTTTTCCCTCCCATGCAGATGTTTCTCCTACTGCCAGAGATAACACGACTGATAAACCTTTGGATCTGTCTGATCGCTTCTCCGATTTTCACTGTGAAAAAATAATTGCTGAAAGTTCCAAGATAAAGATGAGGCAGGCAACTCTCCATGATGTTTTTCAACCTCTAGTGAAAGACTCTTCTTCTAAAATCACCAATAGCAATTCCATAGTGAACAAAGATTCACAAGAGAATCCCTGCATACAAGAAGCAATACTAAAATCTCTTACCAAAATGTCCCCAGTGAAAGAGCATGAAGTAAAAGAAGAAATTGCTAAGTTTTCTAATCCATCTTTGCAAAATGATGACAGTATAAAAGTAAGTATGTGACTAAAGCATTTATTTTATAATTCACCATTATCTGAAATGAGTTTTTTTTGAGAAACTGAATTAATTTTTTCCTGTAGAGATTTTGCAAGATACATAGGGAGAGTACTTTTGTTTCTGCATATACGTTTGATGGTCAGAAGATATATGCAACTGAAAATATGCATAGGCAGATAGTAATTCTATACTAAAAATCAGTACTTGTATGTTGTTTATTCTCAGTTGTTTTGGCAGGAGGTTGCTGGTGATCATGAACCAATACGGAAGAGAATAAGATCAGGACATGGAATGGGTGAGCCAGCATCAGTACTTCAGCCAAATCCTTGCAGGGTGACAAAAATCACACAACTTGAGCAAGGTATCTTTTTACTCATAAATTTATAAATGAATAGAACTATCACAGGCTTTGAATCTAACTCCTTTGCTCGTTTTTTTTTTCTGTTCTGTTCTGATCTGATCCTCGGAGACTGCCTGGTTAGGTCCCTGCAATTTTCTTCGCAAGGTTTTTCAGAAATAATTTGCCATTACTCTTTCCTAGAGCTGAGAGAAAGTCACTGGCCCAAGGTCACCCAGCTGGTTTCATGTCCAAGGCAGGACAAGATCTCAGGTTTTCCCAGTTTCTAGCTTGATTCCTTAACCACTACATGAAACTGGCTATCTAGCATTATTCTCTCTGGTATTGTAATGTAATACAATACACTCTGGTATTATTGCTGGCATTATTATAACCAAAACATGCTTCTAGCTATTGATCTTCCCATGCTATCTTTCTTTCTGGGATATTCTCTTAATTTACTACTTGCATATTCTCATGTATAGCTTTTTATTTTTATGACACCTGAAGTCTATAATTGTACAGGCTACGAATTGTATTTTATATCTACTGTATGTGTGGAATTTTGTTACTATAGACAGTCATGACACTTAAAACTTCTGATTTCTTTTCCAGATAAAATACCTTTGGAAAATGTACAATGGAGTATAGATCCAGGAGCTGACCTTTCTCAATACAAAATGGACGTTACTCTGATTGACACAAAAGTAAGGGATTTTAAAGTTTTGCTCATTGAACACCCCTGAATAAATTAGACTCTTGATCTATTAAGAATGAAATAAAACGAAACAGTATCATTTTTTCTTGAAAGTAAATTTTAGACTAAATAAAAATGATATACATTTAATTATTGATAATGCAAAGTTTTACAGCTAATTCCTAAACATAATTTCACATTGAAACAGTGCTTCTTATAGCATAGAATCTGTTTCATGTTATTAAAATCTCTAAACATGTACAGTTAATCCTCACTTAATGACCATTCAAAGTTACAATGGACCTCCCAAAAGGGACTTACAACTTGATTCAAAGTTCCTCTACACCCCCCCCCCCCATGCAGTCATCAGATTGCACTTTGGGTGCTCAGCAACTGGCCCACATTTGCTTGTTTGTTAAATTTCTATGCCACCCATCTCACTAATGCAGTGACTCTGGGCGGCTTGCAATATAACAACAAAGTTGAAAAGTGCTAAAAAACAATTAAAATTAGAATAAAAGATTAAAAGTTAAGAACCAGCCACCCAGGAAGCCTCTAGAACTGTCCATGCTGCTGAATTCTGTATCAGTTGTAGTTTCCAAATACTCTTCAAGGGCAGCCCCATGTTGCAGTAGTTCAGCTGAGAGATGACTAAAGCATGAGGGTACAGCTGGCACAAGAAGTTGCATGTTTGTGGCATTCTGTGGTCATGTGACCCGATTTAGGTTGGGTTTTTTGCTAGAAAAATGCTTAACGACCACCACAAAAAAGTTGTGAGGTTAGGTCAGTCACATGATAACCCCCTTAACCACCAGCATGACTTACAATTGAAATTATGAGCTCAATTACAGTCATAAGTCAAGGACTACTTGATGATTATCTACCAAGAAAATGATATTCCAACTTCTCATCCAAAAAGTTTCCTTTAATATATCTTCTTTGTTCTCACCAAAAGTATTATCTTCTTTTTTATATTTTGGATATTATAATCCATTAAAAATATGAAAAGTTTTCAAAATATATCTTTAGAAACACTGATAGTTTAGAAACCTCCTTTATGACTTTTCATTTATAATCTGCTTGTGATATTTATATGAAAGACTGAATGTAGGAATTCCTTGTTTTAGAGAATTGTATGAAGAATATCTTCATTCTGACATGCCACTAGTAATGTCATCCTTGAAAAAAAATACTGTATCCAAGCAGGTTTTTTGGCAGCAAATGTTTGCCTATATATCTTACCTATATAGATCACCAATATATATGCAATCCTAATCAGACTGGATTACATTCATGTTAAAAGTACTTTGGTTTTGTAAATGAGAAGAGATACTTCAGAATCTTGTTCAATCTATTGCAGATAGGTACAAACTGAATTGTGCGTACCTACACATTATAATTATGGATAAATATTTAAGATATAAGCCTAAAGTAGAGAAATTCAAAATTTAATTTAAATTTTATTTTGTATAATGAAATTGCCCGAAGTACAGTATTACTCCTTTGTTTTTTTGCTTCTTTGAATTTCCATGAAAATATAATTCCATTCCTGTATCAATTCTAAACAAAATTGATATAATTCTCTTCATTTATAGAAGTGCTCAATGAAGTTTATTTGCTAGAAACTCCAAATCATGCTTATATTTCTTTAACATATAAAAAACGCTATGAATTTCCAACCTTTGGAAAACACAAATATTATTGAGGCTTTGATCAGAATTTGCAGATTATGCAGCTGCTTTGTATGCTGCACCTCCAAAAGATTTGGGATTGTTCTAGAAGCTAAAAAGATGATAAGTATAATATTTGCTTTTAAAATGTTGATTTAGATTTATTGAATATTTATAAAAAATATAGTTGAATTTTAGGAGTGATATTTTAATTTTGTCTATCATAGTTATCTTTAATTCTGTTAATTAAAAGGAAGGAACTCAAACAAGAATCGGGTCAGAGACCCTGGACATGGACCATACGTATATCAGTGATAGTATTCTATTAAGAATGAAAAAGCAAAGACAGAAAGAAATAAGCAATCCAGGTAAGTTTATTTTTGTTTAATATAATTTTTTTATTATTCAGATAATAAAGGCATAATAATAATAATAATAATAATAATAATAATAATAATAATAATAATAATAATAATAATAATAATAATAATAATAATAATAATAATAAAGTTGGAAGGGACCTTGGAGGTCATCTAGTCCAACCCCCTGCTCAGGCAGGAAACCCTATACCATTTCAGACAAATGGCTGTCCAGTCTCTTCTTAAAAACTTCCAGTGTTGGAGCATTCACCACTTCTGGAGGCAGGTGATCATATTAATGTATCTCTACCTATGGGGATTTGTGATTCCACTCCATAGATGCATCAAAACAGCAATTGCATCAGGATCACAGTTAATAGGGAATGATGGTAGTGCGTGAAAAGCCCACTGTGAAAGGGTAAACTCACTGCCCCAATAAGCTACATTTCTCCTTCCCTCTTGAGATCCAGAGTTTCAGCACTGTGTGGGAAAGAGGTTTAAATCAGCTCCATCTTCTATTTCATTGGAGAGCATCCCATTAAACAGATAAGAAACACAGAGCGTGTATAGGTGTGGTGGCAAAGGAATTAAGCCAGTAAGACTGTAGCAAAACAAGGAAAGTCCAAAGCAAGCAACTCAGTGGCAATCTTAAGAAGAAATGGCAGCCTTTGGAGCAAGACTAACTGAGACAGAGCCAAAGGATTGGGAGAGGGGAGGGCGAACCTGACCAGAGTCTGCAAAGAAGCAACAGAAGCAAACTTACTGCATGCAACAACCCAGGTGGAGTTCTATAAACCAGCTGTAGGAAGACAAGGCCATAAGTGCTGGGTGAGGAGGGATGAGTAGCCACATAACACAAGTATATGGAGTAAAAAGGGTTTTCAAATATAAATGGGCTGTGGCTGGCTACAAGAACTGAAGACTACAAGAACTGAAGACATGGGCATAGCAGTCCCGATTCCTATCATAACTGGAGGATTACCTGTAAATTCTCTCATGCACTATTAGTACACACATTAATTTGGATTTTGGAAAAAAAAACATTAGCTTTAACAAACTGAGTATGTGTATATGAAATAGTAATCTGCCTACATCATTTTCTTTTGCATCTAGTCTGGTGACATTAAATGCAGTTAAAATATTTATTCATTTATTTATTTATCACATTTTAAAACTGCTCATCTCCCTCACAGCGGGATTTTTTTTACATGTTTAATAAAGTAATAGAATTAAATCAATAGTTAAAGCCATCCATTTAAAACAATGCTAGGAGTCTCTTAGAACTAATATATAACTTTCACCCATCTTTTTAAAGAAGAAAACTCAGATGGGAATGTGTTTATGTCCTACTAAAAACTAATATTTTTAAGTTTATTGGGCATAGATAGTCATGTTGATTGCTAATACTTATTGTTACTTGTATTTGTAGAAGAAGTAAAAAGAGAAAAGGATACCTTAACAGAAATATTTGATCAGACAACTTATGAAGAATATGAATCCTATTTAGAAGATGACAATCTTCCAGAATGTGACCATAAGAATTCTTCTGAGGAAGAAGGAAAAGAAAAAAGAACCATACAAAGTATTTTACTTGTTATTAGACTATCTGTAATTCATTATCTGTGGCTGAAGACAAATAATTTCTTTATTCTGAATGCACATAAAAACATTGTTTTAAAAAACTAACTTTGATACTCAGAGAAAATGTATTCATTGTTACAAATGGTTATAAATCTAGTTTACTGTAGTCATATTACTTCAGTTACATTTATAATTATATCATATTCTTTCCAGTATTGTTTATGGCTTAATCTATATGTTTTCAGGGGAAGGAGACAAGCAAAATAAAATGAAACAGAAGGCTTTTGTGGAACCATATTTTAAAAGAGGTGAAAGGTATTTATGGAATCAAGTTTCCTCAGAATATAAATATTAGTTACATTTTCCCACAGATGATAATATGGCAAAATTAAAGTTTAATTTTAAAGAATTTAATCAACTTTGAAAATATTCCTAAAAATAATCAAATAAAAAATATAAAATATTTTGAAGAGTTATTTTTTTTAATTTCACACAAATAAAATACCTCTCCAGGAGATATTTTTAATTTTGGAATTTCTCTTCCCCAAAAAATATGTTCAGTAGTCTGCCAACGTTTGGCTAATATAGGGAAGTCATTCTGATATCAATAGAACTTTAGCTATTCTAATTGTGTCCTTTTTTCTTTTCATTATTTGCATTATAGCAATCAAATACATAAATATAAAACTGGAAATATATTCAGAAATACTATAACTGCTAGAGTGTTGTCATGATTGTTGTCTGTATTGTGAATATTTATAGTTAGGGACAAAATCAAATTTTGTCCCATGGATAGCTTATGCAATTTTTTAGCAACATTATAGCATTATAGCAATCAAATACATAAATATAAAACTGGAAATATATTCAGAAATACTATAACTGCTAGAGTGTTGTCATGATTGTTGTCTGTATTGTGAATATTTATAGTTAGGGACAAAATCAAATTTTGTCCCATGGATAGCTTATGCAATTTTTTAGCAACATAAAGTTTAGATCCTTGTCTTTCTCTGCTTACATTGCAGAACAGATCTTGTACTGGATTTTCCTCACATTGAAGTTGTGCGGAAAAAAGAAGAAAGAAGAAAATTACCTGGCCACACTTGTAAAGAATGTGAAATAGTAAGTATACAGTGGATCTTATACAGGTAGTCCTTGACTTACGACCACACTTGAGCCCAAAATTTCCATTGCTGAGCAAGACAATTGTTAAGTGAGTTTTGCCCCATTTTACAAATTTTCTTGTCAGAGTTAAGTGAATCATTGCAGTTGTTAAATTAATAACACACTTGTTAAGTGAATCTGGCTTCCCTTTGATTTGGCTTGTCTAAAGGTTGCAAAAGGCGATCACATGATCGCAGGACACTGCCACCATCATTAATACATGTCAGTTGCACAGCATCCCAATTTTTATCAGATTACCATGGGGATGCTGCAATGCCCATAAGTGTGAAAATTGGTCATAAGTCACTTTTTTTCAGTGCCATTGTAACTTCGAACAGTCATTAAATGAATGGTTGTAAGTTGTGGATTACCTGTATACTTGTTTTTTGAATATGTATTTATATCCCAATTTTCAAATGCAAATAAACTTATAGTATTAAGGAATTACTACATAAATAGCAAGAGCACTTAAACCTATATACCGCTTCACAGTGCTTTAAAGCCCTTTCTAAGCGGTTTACAGAGTTAGCATATTGCCCCCAACAATCTGGGTCCTCATTTTACCAACCTTGGAAGGATGGAAGGCTGAGTCAACCTTAAGCTGGTGAGAATTGAACTGTCGGCAGTCAGCAGAATTAGCCTGCAATACTGCATTCTAACCACTTATTAAGCAATACTTTTGAATATTAGCCTGTCTGCCTCTGTGAATTGACCTGCATATAGTTAGAATATATGTGAAGTACTGTGTCAATTCTTAGTCATATATTTTGAAAATAATATAGATAAAACTGACTTGTAACTAGAGGAAGGTAGCTAAAAATGATGAGGGATTAAAACAGCAAGTCCTATGGAGAAATGTGAAAAACTAAGTATAAACACAACTCACAGAATAGTCCAAAGCACATATTCCAGTAGAGAGAAGTTCCCTGAAGATGGGCTCCAGCATGGGTCCAAAAGCTCGGAAAGTAAATCTCTGGTCCTGATGACCAACCCAGATTCGATCTTGCAAAATTAAATATATTCACATTGACCTATAATCCATCGATTTGAGATTGCATATCAAATCAAAAATAAATGAACCACCGTACGGCTTAGTATAACGTGGGAACAATTAAGGGACCAATATGATAATTGTCCCCCCCAAATTATGTGTAAGGTAGGGAGCAACCAGCCTGCGTGAACAAACCACCACCAATGTTCCAATGGAGATTTTGCCAATTTTTAGAAACATATCACTGAATTTACCATGGAAAATTCTTGTGAGTGTCCCCAATCACAGGAGATTCCTCAACTTGCTCTTCTGATTTCTGGCACCACTGCTGTAGTTCCCTTGTTTTCACTTCAGAAATCTTCCTTATGGCCCTTGAGGGCTTTCAGAATTGGGCTTATTAAGAGCGACTATTCATATAATAATTATACCATTTCATTATTGGAGAGAACATTATCTATGAAAAAGGTATATACTGCTATTCTCATTTGAGTATATTTGCCTTAAATAATAACAGGTAAATTACTTCCATATGAGAGTGTACATGAAATTCATTTATTAATATTCTGTACAACTTGTTTTGAGGTTATATATTCAGTAATGATTCAATTTTAAATGCTTATTTCAACCATCTTAAAAAATCCTCATCAATATTTTTCTGAAATGGAATCTTTAAAATAAGAAACTTACTTTAGTAAATAAGATTGTTGCTAGTGGTTGCTGTTTAAGGTACAACATTTTAGTCCATGATGAAGCTTAATTCTGTTCTCTAAAACATGCAGAATCTGGAGTCTTGAATGAAGAAAGAAACAGGACATAAAAGCAGCTTTGTGTTTTGTTTTGTTTTTTGCCAAGGTTTGTGTGTGAACAGTTTTAATTTCCTGTCCCTGCACAGGCAAGGTTTCTTCTCTCCAGGAACTTGGTTCTTGTTACATTTTGGCAAGTGATTGTTAGTGCTAACTGTTAGATTAAAAATAGTTAGGAACTTTTCTCACTACTCTAAAAACGTTAAACATATGGACAAAACATCTAAAGCATTTATAAAAAAATTTGTTCAGTATAAACAATCCAAAATTAATGTTTTCATAGATGTATGTTGTAATGTCAGCATGTCATGATACCAAAGTGATAATGTGAGAAGCAAAAGACTTCTAAATCAAAATAAACAAGACAGGAAAAGTTATGCTTAATTGACTTTTGTCTGGATTAGCACTTCTTTTTTGAATGTTGTTTTCAAAGTTTTAGAAAGAGTTTAGAAAGAAGAAAAAATATGCTACAATATACCATTAAGAATATAAGTATTGTACAGACAGCTTTCTATTGCTTGGGGATTGCTAATTTGGAAAATACATTAACCCAAAAGTGTGGGATTCATTTTGTATCTAAAAACGCAATATGCAAACAGCACAAATAAGAGATTCAGAAATATGTTGATAGGTATTAAATATTGTTGGGTATCCATGTTTTACTACTAAAATATTCTCCTTGATTTGTTACTTATTTCTAGTTATTATATCTTAGTATTATGCAGGTTTACCTGAAGAAGAGAGAGAGAAAAAACTAGCTACCTGTTCTAGACATCGATCTCGTTATATTCCTCCTGAAACACCAGAAAATTTCTGGGAAGTTGGATTTCCTTCCACACAAATGTGTGTTGAAAGAGGTAATTATATAAAGCAAGACTATACAAAAACGGGAGAATAAGCTTTGTTTCCAAAAGTAATGCAGGAATCTGACTAGAAACAACAAAGGGTGGTTGCTTTAAGAAGCAGAAAATGGAAGTCACAGAAATGGGTTAACCTAACTTCTAGGTAGAAAGTAGAACTTCTTCCTATTCCAAGACAACCTCCCCCTTTTAATCTTTAGTTCTGGCCTTTAGGAAGGACCAGTGGCATATTCATCAGCTCCATTTTAAGGACTTACTAAGAAGGTGACAAAAAACGACTGGAAGTACAGGTGGCAAAGTGGCATTCAATAAAATGCAATTCCCCAAACAGTATCCCTGCTAAATAATGTGACAATCAGACACTACAAACCAAATGTCATCTGGAAATTAAAGAGACTGGGAGAAAGCAGTAAAATTGGGGTGAATAATCCATGAATACAAAGACTTTTCTCAGAATACTTTGGCAAACAGAGAAACCAAGAGATCTGTGGCAGATCAGGACCTCAACGGACTCCTTGGCTCCATGACAAATGAGGCCCCAGGTAGCACCAACTGCAGTGACTGGCAGCCAGTAGCTATACATGGCAGATTGGGAGGCTTCTTGACATCTTCCTCTCACATCTGAATGAAACAGTGGGTAGCAGCAGTAGTTGTGACATTCAGGAAAAGACTTCTGTGTGGCATCCATTGGGCTGACTCTAATACAGGCTAAACACCAGGTAGGCCTTTGGCAGTCATTCTCTGAAGACTAACAAGTTATAAGGTTGGGAAGATAGCACAGCAGTATTCATTTACTCTAGACTAGCACAAGCAGACAGATCTCCTTCAGTTTCATTAAGAGAATGCAGCAAGAGAACCAAAGAGCTACTGATATAGCAGTATCAGAAAAAGGGATGTTTGAATTCCAAGAGAGGAGCAAGGGAAATGCATACCTGCATATCTAAGCTCGTGTCTTAATGATTGCATAGGTTTTTTGGGAGGAATCTGTGAAAGAATAGGCCATCATAAAATCCAGATGATTTAAAGATGTGTAAACACCCATTGAAACAGATTTGTTGCAAATTCAAGTATTTTAAGAGTGGGAGTCACTATTCCTAATTATTACATTAGCTTTTCCCAGCCCAGGACCTTCACACATGGTATCTTACTCTACCTTCAGGCAGCTCCCATCAGCCCTGCACAAAGAATGGATGGAGCGAGCACTGAAGCAAACCAAAAACCAACAGCCTCGGGAAGCAGGGCCATGGCTGTTCCTTCCACCATTGTCTGAGTTTTGGTAATAGAGACAGAAGTTGTCCCACAAGCTGTGACAAATACCTAAGAGAGGGCATTAAAAACTACCAGAGCAACAGAGCTCATGATAGACTTGTCTGTGCACCTTTTACAGTTCACAACCAGATCCATGACTTGAGAATGGTGGCACAACGGGGGGCTATGCTCAACCACTGGGAGGTGATTCGCCAATTGAGAGGGGATCCTGTGGTGTCCTTTCCCTTCCTGGGGAATCTACTGTAAATAAAAAGAAAGCTTTCCTTACACCGAGATCGTACAGAAAAAAACTGTCCTCATCCTCTCCTGGAGACTACACCCCCTCTTTTTTTCAGGCAGGAAATAGTCAAGGAAGAACCACTGCAAATCCCTGGCTATTTCATCACAAATTTAACTTCAATAAACAAGGATAATTCTGTTCCAATTTTACAATGATGGCCAGCTCACTGGCTACCTTTTAAAGGTTGGTAATCTGAAGGAAGTATTTCCTGCCTGAAGAGACTTCAATTAGTGGCAGGGAGAGTAGATCTGATGGACAGAAAGAATATTTTTCCATTTGCCCAAAGGCAGCTTGACTGAGTCACTCTGCACAATCATGGTGTCTAAGCAGATTAGTGTATTTTGGTTTTGTCCATTGTTGGTTATGAATAGGACTTGGTGGACAGGAAACACTGTATTTTTTGTTTCATAGTTTATATGACAGCTTATTTGAAACTATTATAATACCTAATAATTGCTATTTAGATATATAGAAAGGGCAACCTTAAGATACAACAACAAATGATAATATGCCTATTGATTGCCGTGAATTTTATTCATAATCTTAGTGTGTTAATAGGATATCACTAATCTTCATTACAGTAATAATAATAACCATTTTTTATAATTTAGTTTTTGAGAATTCACATTCTTTTGGTAATCCTTAACTTAAACCTATCGGTCAAATCAGCATTATCTCCCTATTACTGAGGCACAGCTGATTCAAAATATTGATAATTTATCTATAGCAATCTAGTAAATCCATGTACAAAGTAAAAATTGCATAGGCAATCTTCCCATTTAAATTTCATTTTTCAAAACATCATGCTGTAGAAAGCAAACTTTATTAAATTTCTTAGAAAGTCTGCAAAAAATGTGGCATAAAATGTCGATTTGCACACAGAAAGTTACCTTTAACCTCAAAATATCGATCGTCTCATAACAATTAAGAAGTTTATAAATTAACAAATAGAACCTCACCCTACTCACTTCATAGCTGTGAACACAGATAGTGTTTTGCAATAAAAGTTCTGAATGAAATTCAAAACACCTTTAGCCCAGTCTTTTAGATCAAACTTTTAAAATACTGTAAATTTAAAATGTTTATCTAAGAAATTACTTTGACATTTTACTAATTTATTTTTTTGTTTTTCAGTATAAAACTATACTACGTAATTGGGTTTTTAATGAAGATTTGTTTATGATTATTATATATTGAAACTGGCACAAATTCAGGTCACTATAATTTAATTGTGTTGTTTTGTTTTTTTTTACCAAAACCATAGTGTAGACATTTGTTGTCTTTGTTTTTTTAGGTTATATAAAAGAAGAGTTTGCTCCCTGTCCACGTCCCAAAAGAAGGCAGCCTTATAATGTGATGTTTTCTCCAAAAGGCAAAGAACAAAAGACATAACAGGGAAACAATTTTTAAAGCTAGCCATTGTTTTTCAATTCATATTTATATGAATTTATTTGAAAGGTAAATAATAAAGAGACCTGGGAATTATCTTCCCTTGTTCTATTTGAAAATGATAGCCTCTGAATGCAACTATTTAATGTAAAGAATATATTTCTAGATACATTTTTGTGTCTTGATGGATTTTGCACCTTGTGTGTATTTCTGATCCTTTGGAGGTCTACATTTAGCTCCCTGCAATTAAGCTTGGTGTAAGTTAGTGTGATTTCTTTGGACCAAGCAAAGTTGCAACTGCTTATTTCAGGTCTAGAATAGTTCCACGAACTTTAGATGGAACCTTGTAGGGTGCTTCTATTTTGCACTTGATAATTTAAATAAAGTGTAACCATTTGTTTTTTGTAATAATTTTTNCGGGCAGGACTGGCCTAGGGGTATTTTAAATTGGTTTTAACTAAATTTTAGTAGAAGCGGCCTATTTAAATATTTATTTTTAATCATTTTCTTAAATTTTGTATTGTATTGTATTAGTTGTTTTTAAACTGGCTGTAAGCCGCCCTGAGTCCTCCGGGAGAAGGGCGGGGTATAAATATAATAAAATTCAAATTCAAAAAATAGAACTTTAGCTATTCTAATTGTGTCCTTTTTTCTTTTCATTATTTGCATTATAGCAATCAAATACATAAATATAAAACTGGAAATATATTCAGAAATACTATAACTGCTAGAGTGTTGTCATGATTGTTGTCTGTATTGTGAATATTTATAGTTAGGGACAAAATCAAATTTTGTCCCATGGATAGCTTATGCAATTTTTTAGCAACATAAAGTTTAGATCCTTGTCTTTCTCTGCTTACATTGCAGAACAGATCTTGTACTGGATTTTCCTCACATTGAAGTTGTGCGGAAAAAAGAAGAAAGAAGAAAATTACCTGGCCACACTTGTAAAGAATGTGAAATAGTAAGTATACAGTGGATCTTATACAGGTAGTCCTTGACTTACGACCACACTTGAGCCCAAAATTTCCATTGCTGAGCAAGACAATTGTTAAGTGAGTTTTGCCCCATTTTACAAATTTTCTTGTCAGGGTTAAGTGAATCGTTGCAGTTGTTAAATTAATAACACACTTGTTAAGTGAATCTGGCTTCCCTTTGATTTGGCTTGTCTGAAGGTTGCAAAAGATCACATGATCGCAGGACACTTCCACCATCATTAATACATGTCAGTTGCCCAGCGTCCCAATTTTTATCAGATTACCATGGGGATGCTGCAATGCCCATAAGTGTGAAAATCGGTCATAAGTCACTTTTTTTCAGTGCCATTGTAACTTCGAACAGTCATTAAATGAATGGTTGTAAGTTGAGGATTACCTGTATACTTGTTTTTTGAATATGTATTTATATCCCAATTTTCAAATGCAAAGAAACTTATAGTATTAAGGAATTACTACATAAATAGCAAGAGCACTTAAACCTATATACCGCTTCACAGTGCTTTACAGCCTTCTCAGCGGTTTACAGAGTCAGCATATTGCCCCCAACAATCTGGGTCCTCATTTTACCAACCTTGGAAGGATGGAAGGCTGAGTCAATCTTAAGCTGGTGAGAACTGAACTGTCAGCAGTCAGCAGAATTAGCCTGAAATACTGCATTCTAACCACTGAGCCACCACGGCTTAGTGAAACTTATTAAGCAATACTTTTGAATATCAGCCTGTCTGCCTTTGTGAATTGACCTGCATATAGTTAGAATATATGTGAAGTACTGTGTCAATTCTTAGTCATATATTTTGAAAATAATATAGATAAAACTGACTTGTAACTAGAGGAAGATAGCTAAAAATGATGAGGGATTAAAACAGCAAGTCCTATGGAGAAATGTGAAAAACTAAGTATAAACACAACTCACAGAATAGCCCAAAGCACATATTCCAGTAGAGAGAAATTCCCTGAAGATGGGCTCCAACATGGGTCCAAAAGCTCGAAAAGTAAATCTCTGGTCCTGATGACCGACCCAGATTCGATCTTGCAAAATTAAATATATTCACATTGACCTATAATCCATCGATTTGGGATTGCATGTCAAATCAAAAATAAATGAACCACCGTACGGCTTAATATAACGGAACAATTAAGGGACCAATATGATAATTGTCCCCTCCCCCCAAATTATGTGTAAGGTAGGGAGCAACCAGCCTGCGTGAAGAAACCACCACCAGTGTTCCAATGGAGTTTTTGCTAATTTTTAGAAACGTATCACTGAATTTACCGTGGAAAATTCTTGTGAGTGTCCCCAATCACAGGAGATTCCTCAACTTGCTCTTCTGATTTCTGGCACCACTGCTGTAGTTCCCTTGTTTTCACTTCAGAAGTCTTCCTTATGGCCCTTGAGGGCTTTCAGAATTGGGCTTATTAAGAGCGACTATTCATATAATAATTATACCATTTCATTATTGGAGAGAACATTATATATGAAAAATGTATATACTGCTATTCTCATTTGAGTATATTTGCCTTAAATAATAAGAGGTAAATTACTTCCATATGAGAGTACATGAAATTCATTTATTAATATTCTGTACAACTTGTTTTGAGGTTATATATCAGTATTATACTATACCGTGTCTTTCAAAAATTCAGTAATGATTCAATTTTAAATGTTTATTTCAACCATCTTAAAAAATCCTCATCAATATTTTTCTGAAATGGAATCTTTAAAATAAGAAACTTATTTAGTAAATAAGATTGTTGCTAGTGTTTGCTGTTTAAGGTACAACATTTTAGTCCATGATGAAGCTTAATTCTGTTCTCTAAAACATGCAGAATCTGGAGTCTTGAATGAAGAAAGAAACAGGACATAAAAGCAGCTTTGTGTTTTGTTTTGTTTTTTGCCAAGGTTTGTGTGTGAACAGTTTTAATTTCCTGTCCCTGCACAGGCAAGGTTTCTTCTCTCCAGGAACTTGGTTCTTGTTACATTTTGGCAAGTGATTGTTAGTGCTGTTAGATTAAAAATAGTTAGGAACTTTTTTCACTACTCTAAAAACGTTAAACATATGGACAAAACATCTAAAGCATTTATAAAAAAATGTGTTCAGTATAAACAATCCAAAATTAATGTTTTCATAGATGTATGTTGTAATGTCAGCATGTCATGATACCAAAGTGATAATGTGAGAGGCAAAAGACTTCTAAATCAAAATAAACAAGACAGGAGAAGTTATGCTTAATTGACTTTTGCCTGGATTAGCACTTCTTTTTTGAATGTTGTTTTCAAAGTTTTAGAAAGAGTTTAGAAAGAAGAAAAAATATGCTACAATATACCATTAAGAATATAAGTATTGTACAGACAGCTTTCTATTGCTTGGGGATTGCTAATTTGGAAAATACATTAACCCAAAAGTGTGGGATTCATTTTGTATCTAAAAACACAATATGCAAACAGCACAAATAAGAGATTCAGAAATACGTTGATAGGTATTAAATATTGTTGAGTATCCATGTTTTACTACTAAAATATTCTCCTTGATTTGTTACTTATTTCTAGTTATTATATCTTAGTATTATGCAGGTTTACCTGAAGAAGAGAGAGAGAAAAAACTAGCTACCTGTTCTAGACATCGATCTCGTTATATTCCTCCTGAAACACCAGAAAATTTCTGGGAAGTTGGATTTCCTTCCACACAAATGTGTGTTGAAAGAGGTAATTACTGTATATAAAGCAATACTATACAAAAATGGGAGAATAAGCTTTGTTTCCAAAAGTAATGCAGGAATCTGACTAGAAACAACAAAGGGTGGTTGCCTTAAGAAGCAGAAAATGGAAGTCACGGAAATGGGTTAACCTAACTTCTCCTAGGTAGAAAGCAGAACTTCTTCCTATTCCAAGACAACCTCCCCCTTTTAATCTTTAGTTCTGGCCTTTAGGAAGGGCCAGTGGCATATCCATCAGCTCCATTTTAAGGACTTACTAAGAAGGTGACAAAAAACGACTGGAAGTACAGGTGGCAAAGTGGCATTCAATAAAATGCAATTCCCCAAACAGTATCCCTGCTAAATAATGTGACAATCAGACACTACAAACCAAATGTCATCTGGAAATTAAAGAGACTGGGAGAAAGCAGTAAAATTGGGGTGAATAATCCATGAATACAAAGACTTTTCTCAGAATACTTTGGCAAACAGAGAAACCAAGAGATCCGTGGCAGATCAGGACCTCAACGGAATCCTTGGCTCCATGACAAATGAGGCCCCAGGTAGCACCAACTGCAGTGACTGGCAGCCAGTAGCTATACATGGCAGATTGGGAGGCTTCTTGACATCTTCCTCTCACATCTGAATGAAACAGTGGGTAGCAGCAGTAGTTGTGACATTCAGGAAAAGACTTCTGTGTGGCATCCATTGGGCTGACTCTTATACAGGCTAAACACCAGGTAGGCCTTTGGCAGTCATTCTCTGAAGACTAACAAGTTATAAGGTTGGGAAGATAGCACAGCAGTATTCATTTACTTTAGACTAGCATAAGCAGACAGATCTCCCTCAGTTTCATTAAGAGAATGCAGCAAGAGAACCAAAGAGCTACTGATATAGCAGTATCAAAAAAGATGTGTGAATTCCAAGAGAGGAGCAAGGGAAATGCATACCTGCATATCTAAGCTCGTGTCTTAATGATTGCACAGGTTTTTTGGGAGGAATCTGTGAAAGAATAGGCCATCATAAAATCCAGATGATTTAAAGATGTGTAAACACCCATTGAAACAGATTTGTTGCAAATTCAAGTATTTTAAGAGTGGGAGTCACTATTCCTAATTATTACATTAGCTTTTCCCAGCCCAGGACCTTCACACATGGTATCTTACTCTACCTTCAGGCAGCTCCCATCAGCCCTGCACAAAGAATGGATGGAGCGAGCACTGAAGCAAACCAAAAACCGACAGCCTCGGGAAGCAGGGCCATGGCTGTTCCTTCCACCATTGTCTGAGTTTTGGTAATAGAGACAGAAGTTGTCCCACAAGCTGTGACAAATACCTAAGAGAGGGCATTAAAAACTACCAGAGCAACAGAGCTCATGATAGACTTGTCTGTGCACCTTTTACAGTTCACAACCAGATCCATGACTTGAGAATGGTGGCACAACGGGGGGCTACGCTCAACCACTGGGAGGTGATTCGCCAATTGAGAGGGGGTCCTGTGGTGTCCTTTCCCTTCCTGGGGAATCTACTGTAAATAAAAAGAAAGCTTTCCTTACACCGAGATCGTACAGAAAAAAACTGTCCTCATCCTCTCCTGGAGACTACACCCCCTCTTTTTTCAGGCAGGAAATAGTCAAGGAAGAACCACTGCAAGTCCCTGGCTATTTCATCACAAATTTAACTCCAATAAACAAGGATAATTCTGTTCCAATTTTACAATGATGGCCAGCTCACTGGCTACCTTTTAAAGGTTGGTAATCTGAAGGAAGTATTTCCTGCCTGAAGAGACTTCAATTAGTGGCAGGGAGAGTAGATCTGATGGACAGAAAGAATATTTTTCCATTTGCCCAAAGGCAGCTTGACTGAGTCACTCTGCACAATCATGGTGTCTAAGCAGATTAGTGTATTTTGGTTTTGTCCATTGTTGGTTATGAATAGGACTTGGTGGACAGGAAACACTGTATTTTTTGTTTCATAGTTTATATGACAGCTTATTTGAAACTATTATAATACCTAATAATTGCTATTTAGATATATAGAAAGGGCAACTTTAAGATACAACAACAAATGATATTATGCCTATTGATTGCCGTGAATTTTATTCATAATCTTAGTGTGTTAATAGGATATCACTAATCTTCATTACAGTAATAATAATAACCATTTTTTATAATTTAGTTTTTGAGAATTCACATTCTTTTGGTAATCCTTAACTTAAACCTATCAGTCAAATCAGCATTATCTCCCTATTACTGAGGCACAGCTGAATCAAAATATTGATAATTTATCTATAGCAATCTAGTAAATCCATGTATAAAGTAAAAATTGCATAGGCAATCTTCCCATTTAAATTTCATTTTTCAAAACATCATGCTGTAGAAAGCAAACTTTATTAAATTTCTTAGAAAGTCTGCAAAAAATGTGGCATAAAATGTCGATTTGCACACAGAAAGTTATCTTTAACATCTCAAAATATCGATCGTCTCATAACAATTAAGAAGCTTATAAATTAACAAATAGAACCTCACCCTACTCACTTCATAGCTGTGAACACAGATAGTGTTTTGCAATAAAAGTTCTGAATGAAATTCAAAACACCTTTATCCCAGTCTTTTAGATCAAACTTTTAAAATACTATAAATTTAAAATGTTTATCTAAGAAATTACTTTGACATTTTACTAATTTATTTTTTCGTTTTTCAGTATAAAACTATACTATGTAATTGGGTTTTTAATGAAGATTTGTTTATGATTATTATATATTGAAATTGGCAGAAATTCAGGTCACTACAATTTAATTGTGTTGGTTTTTTTTACCAAAACCATAGTGTAGACATTTGTTGTCTTTGTTTTTTTAGGTTATATAAAAGAAGAGTTTGCTCCCTGTCCACGTCCCAAAAGAAGGCAGCCTTATAATGTGATGTTTTCTCCAAAAGGCAAAGAACAAAAGACATAACAGGGAAACAATTTTTAAAGCTAGCCATTGTTTTTCAATTCATATTTATATGAATTTATTTGAAAGGTAAATAATAAAGAGACCTGGGAATTATCTTCCCTTGTTCTATTTGAAAATGATAGCCTCTGAATGCAACTATTTAATGTAAAGAATATATTTCTAGATACATTTTTGTGTCTTGATGGATTTTGCACCTTGTGTGTATTTCTGATCTTTTGGAGGTCTACATTTAGCTCCCTGCAATTAAGCTTGGTGTAAGTTAGTGTGATTTCTTTGGACCAAGCAAAGTTGCAACTGCTTATTTCAGGTCTAGAATAGTTCCACGAACTTTAGATGGAACCTTGTAGGGTGCTTCTATTTTGCACTTGATAATTTAAATAAAGTGTAACCATTTGTTTTTTGTAATAATTTTTGAAAAAAATATAATAAAGTGTACTTTCTTAATTATGACTTTTTACATCAGTTTTATCATATATTTTATTCTATGCATGCCCGTCTAGAATCTGTTATAGCTTATAGAATTTTTTGGCAAGAGCTCTTACATGTATGACTTCGCATGGTACTCCCGGAATCCTTGCAGTTTCTTTTGATTACAACAGCAATTGCATGCTTGTTCTTGAAACTTCTTTGTTCCTATACAACTGTTCTTTTTTTAAAAAGTATTCCACTTTGCCGTAATTTATTTTATTTACTTTGTATCACCTGTGCTACATGTAAGGGAATTTAGGATGCAAATCACCTTGAAGGCTTTTGCAAATACTAATTTGTGATGGCAAATCTGTCTTGGCCCTGTCTTGGCCACACTCTTTACCTATTTTGCCTTAGCAAAGGATACAGACAAGCCTCTTATTGGCATTGCCAAGTCTTTCTCATTTCTATCCAGAATCCCTAACTTGTTTCTTGCATTCATAGGATCCTCTCAGCCTCAAGCACATTCAGCATCATCTGCTAGGAATCTCCGTTACTCTGCCATTTTACCATCAGTACTGGTAAACTACAGTTTAAAAGAATTGCCCACTTAGTATATATCAGAGCAAAAAGAATAAGGGTCTCCTATTAACCCTCTGATCATAGTTACGGTTAATTCACTATCCTGAGCTTCTACATATTTACCTCTACCAGTATTTGTATTGCTGGATTCACAAATTTAGACCATCTACTCCTTTGGGCCCCTTTCAGAATTGGTCTGTATTTATATGAGGGACATCTTCACATCTGAGGAGGTTAGCCTGTTAGAGACTATAGCAGATGGTTAAACTTACTGACTAGAAGTTGGGATATTTCCCATATACTCTTTCAAAAAATCTCCTGATCTTCCCATCTCCAGCTTTGGGGTAGTGGTTTAGTGATTTTTGCTGCTACCACCTGTGAATAATAAGACTTTCATAAGTTGTTGTCTTTCTGGCAATTAAAAGGTGAAAATTCAAAGATTGACATGTATATAGTGTCAATTCCTGGCACAGAGATGTGTGACTGAAGAATTCAGCCCTCCCAGAAGACATTTTAACTAAACAAAAAGATAAAATACCCCCTTTTTAATTTAAAGCATTAAAATTCCAACTTTCAACACCAAAGGAAATAAACACACATCACAACTTAGTAGTCAGCCACTTCTAAATCAGTTAAAAACTCCAAAAGAAATAGAAAACTGTGGTTATACCAAAAGATGGTACATTATTGAAAATCACATAAAGTGTATAAATAGAATTATGTCTAGCCTGATATATAGATCAGGACCGACAAAACTCAATTGTTTAACCTGTACAAAGCAATAAAGAGAATTAGATTGAGTATAGCACAAAAACATAAATCAAGAACTAAGCCCAACATGTTTATTAAAGAGGGAGGCTGGGGATATTGAATGTCTGGGCAGTCAAAAAGGGATGTCTCAAACTGGAACTGTTAGTGGTTTGAAAGGAACTTCAGGACTCTAAGACAAAACAGTCCAGATTGCATACAGTCCTTTGTTATATCTACATGAAAGATAACACATACACTCCCCTTTTATACCTCCCCAGGCAAATTTGCCTTTTTGTTCCATAAAATTCTATCCCACATTTCTTTCTTTTATGTTCTAGTGAATGGTATCCTTTTCCAATCTGCTTTGAAAAGAAATTGAATGAAGAGTTTGATTTTTTTTTTTACCCACTAGTACCCACACAGGTCTGTGCTTGGAATCTTTTCCTATTGACTCCATACTAATATGAAAGCTTTTTGAGCCAATGATTGCTACATTCTGCTGCTTTCATGGAAAATGTCATTTTTAATAGTTTTGGCTATCTAAGTGAAGGAACTGGGACTTACGTTGGGATTCAACTTTCATCATTTTTCACAGGGATAAAACCACCTATCAGTTGTCTTCTATGTCCTAAAAGAAAATTTTTAAATGCTTATTTTTTCTTCTTATTCCAGATTTAGCCTGGAAGTACTTCATTGACTGAGCAATTAGTGGTTCATGAAGCAGAAAATACAGCCTGCTATTTGTGGGTCACAATAATTCTATTACTTCTCACTTAAAGAGGAGAAGGAGACAATATTACCCTCTGTCTCATCCAATCTGCCTACCAAATGATTTACAATAATGTACAGGTAACCTGAACTAAAAAATTGACACCAAGAATTACATACGAAGCACGGGGGGTTCAGCATTGAAAAGTAGGGTACAAATTAAAGCCTGCCTTGATTGTGAATTTTCTTTCATATATACATAGGGAATCAATTTAAATGTTTATTCTGAATATAAAAAATGTCGTTTCTGCTTGTTCACCATCCTGTTTCTAATGCACACAATAGTTTAAGGCAGGATAGCTTGATGACAACTATTAAACTTTCACTATGAACTTGGAAAGGTATTCTTATTCACTATTTTGCCACTGTTCAGCCCAGCAAACTTAATAAGGGAAAGGGCAAAGGCAGCAGAACAAAAGGAAACAACTTAAAAGTTAAAGAAACATATAATAATAAACCAATTTTTGCTCGAATAAAAATTTGATTCCCTGCATGTCATCACCACCATAAACATGCATGCTCCCCAACTCTCTATGACTGCATAGCTTACAAGAATCAAATTACAATAAAATCAATAAAAGATGGCAAACATGACAGACCAGATGGACCAAAGAGAAGGATTTCTCCCTTGCCAAAGGTCCAAGTGTGCGTGGATCTTCTAAGGAGAACAGAGGGGGCTGAATTCAGAAGGAAGAAACTCGTTCCAGAAGGCAGGTGCTACTACAGAAAAGGTATATTTCTGAAGTCCCAATAAATGATATCAAAGGGTCAATCTTGCAGGATCAAATTGGCCAGACAAATGCTATTGGAGACAGGTGGTGTCTAGATTGTGCAACATGGTTGCAGTATTGTAATAAAGAGTGCATCCTTGGGAGACTTGAAAGAACAGGGATATACTGTTATGGAGAAAAATCTATCTATATGGTTGCTAGGAGTTGAAAACAACTTGATAGCACATAATTAGCCTTGGTTTATAGCAGCTAAAACAAGCTGAGCTCTCACGACATTAGCTATAATGTGGTTTATTTATATACTACTAAAACTCTTGTGTCTGTAACTTCTTAATGGATGAAAGAGTGCATCGCAGGGTGACAATTTTGGAACCAAAGTACCTCAAATGGGCTAACTTACAGAATGCATCCAAAATCTGGAATCCGTGACTCCCTTAGAATTGAAGTTTGGCAAATTTTATAAATCATTTTATGATATAAAAATTATAATAAAACATTTGATGGCATTACAAAATGTCATAAAACACTTGTGTTTGTGCTATACAGTTCAAGATGGGCTATTTTCAAAGTAGATGCACCTCTGAATATCTCCCTCCCACTCTTTCCAATGATGACAGTAGGGTAGACGCTCTGCCATTGTTGAAGGAACTGAGGAATCTGCTAAGGAAATACCTTTGAAACAATGACCCAATGGGTCACAGGTTGCCTAGTTTGCTAATATAAATAATCACAGGCTGTGACTCACTACAAATGGTATTTCCTGGCTAGTTATATGCTATAAAAACCAGTGCAGTATAGAGGTCAAGGTGTTGGAGTAGGGAGACTCATGTCTCCAGATCATCAGTTATGAAGCTCACTGAGTAAATCACTCTAAGCCCAAGCTATCTCAGGGAATTGTTATGGAATAAAACTGAAACAGGCATGCAATGTACATTGTCTAAAGCTTCTGAAGGAAAGAAGGGATATAAATCTAACAAAAAAAGCTATGGAAAATAATTATAATTTTTTTGAATAAACTGGTTACAAAACTAATGGCTTAGTAAGATGTCTGCTTCAGGATAAGCTACAGAATCAGGAAACTGAAATCCAGTATTGATATCTGTAATGTTCTGGGTTCTCAGAATCCAGGCCTAAGTTTATCTTACGTCTTGCTAATTGTAGATCAATTCTGCCTGACGTCTAAATTAGAATAAAGTAAACAATTTAAAAGAAGTGTGAATGTGATAGGCCACAGCCAGTTTCATAGGTTTGTATGGGTGATTTAGCAAACTAGTTAATCAGCTGATTGACTTATGATCTTTCCTCAAGTCCAGATTATAATACAAATAGTTCTTGTTCAGCAGCTATTCAAAGTGATGACATTGCTGAAGAAGGCTTAATATCAATCCTTGTATTGTGGAAATAGATCTGTTCCTTGGCAACTAGCTTGGAATTATGTTATGGGATCCTGTGGACACATGATCACCATTTCTGACTTCAGTGCCGGCTTCTGACAAGCAAAATCAATGGGAAGCCAGAAGGTCACAAATGGCAATCACGTCATAAGTACCGTGTTTCCCCAAAAATAAGACCTACTCTGAAAATAAGACCTAGCTTGATTTTGGGGGGTGGGCTAATATAAGTCCTACCCCAAAAATATGCCCTAGTTTTGGGGCGAGGCACATGCCTAAAAATCAAGCTAGGGTGGGGGTGGGGGTAGAGCTACTCCACGTGCCCCACACCCACTTTCTGTTGCAACCAGGCCTCCCATGCCCCGACTTGCCTCATCTCGCCGGCCTACTTCTTCTGCAGCTGCTCATTGACGCTCATATGTGTGCGTTACCCCCAGCTTCGATTTCACCATCAGAGGCCTTCAGGAAATGCCTCTGCAGCTGAGAATGGAGCTCCAGATTGATGCATGCAGTGCCTCCTGGTCTCCATTTCGCCATCAGAGGCCTTCCATCAATCCGGAGCTCGGTTCTTGGCTGTAGAGGCCTTTCTGGAAGACCTCTGATGGCAAAATGGAGGCCGAAGGGCACTATGTGCATCAATCCGGAGCTCCATTCTTAGTTCAGAAGCATTTCCTGAAGGCCCCTGCCAGAGAAATGGAGGCTGGGGGTGATGCATGCAAGTGGTGGTGAGTGGACGCAGAAGTGGGCCAGCTGGGCAGGGCTGTTAGTGCCGTCACCACAAGGTGAGACTGTGGA